ATCTATTCTTTCGATGTTAAACTTCGCTATAGAAATAAAGTAGAGAGAAGTTTAAATACTTCGAAAGAATAGGTGTTAAGGATACCAGATATACTAGAGAGTAGTGAAGTTTCTCGAAAGCGCGTCAAAATTATTCGATATTGAGAATAAATTTTTTTACTATAAAGTTTAAGGCGAGATTGTTTCTTTATAAGGGCTTAATATACTTATTTCTTAATTATTTAAGGCGTTAAGAAGACTATAAATACTTTAAATAGTAGTCTTTCGAGTGTACTTACTTCGCTTAGAGGGTCCTTTATCTTATAGAGAAGTTATATGCGAGGAAGTTTCGATTTAAAGAATAATATTCTAAATTAGCTATAACTCGATCATTTCTTATTTAATTAAGGCCTCGTTAAAATCTTAGATATTATAGTATATAAAGTTGTAAGTAATACTACTAGTATATATTTTAAATATAAAGATATAAGATAGTATTAGCTATTTCTTTCGATTCGCTAACTATACGAATAATCCAATATCTTCTTTATCCCTTAACTACTATTTACTGAAACCGTTTCGCTATTCCTTTTAGACTCTTTAAAATCGATTTATCTATCTGATAGACTTATTTAAAAATATAATAACTTAACTTAATTTCTTATTAAAGCCTCTATTAACGCGTTTCTTTAAATTTATTTATTAATATAAATAAAATAAGTAAGTTAATCTTAGTTATAATATTAGAATTAATATAGATATAATATTAATATAGATATATTTAATAAGATAACTAAGATATCGAACTATATAGATGGAAAGAAGATATAATATAATAGGGGATACCTTCGTTAAGGCCCGCTAGCTATAGAGCTAAGAAGTATATTAAGAGTACGCTCGTAATAAAACTAGCTATTATCATAGTAACTATATCTTTAAACTTATACTCTTCTTAAATATATTTCTAAAGCTTCTTTAAACGAAGCTTTATACGAATATTAACGAATTATAATTCGAAGTTTTCTTCGAATAGAAGATCGAATTTATAACTACTATTTTTTAATATGGATATTTTAAATAGAATAAACCCTTTAGTCTATAAATAAAATAGACCCTTTAACCTTTAAATAAAATAGACTTTTTTTTAGTCTATAAATGAAATAGACCCTTTAGCCTTTAAATAAAATAGATTCTTTAATCTTTAAATAAGCTAGATTCTTTAATCTATAAATTTTCTAATATCTTAAAATTAGAATAACTTAAATTAATAATAATTAACTACTGCGTAGTAGTAGCGCGAGGGCTTATAATCTATTAAAAATATATAAAAAGGATTAATTAATTAGATAGCTATGGAAGTGCTAAGTAAGCTACTTATATCCGTATTTACCACTACGCTAATTTACCACCTGATTACCACCATGCGGGGTAGCTACAACACAGGTACTGCAGCAAATCTCAACACTCTTTAGTTCCCTTGCCTAGGAATCCTGTAGACTCTTCAAGGACTGTTCTAATGGAGTTCGCGGGTACAAAATACCCATCACAAGAGCTGCAGACGAGGTACTTCTCAACGCAAGTGATTCGCCTTACCGCCACGTATAGGCAAGGACAGCAGGAACGTCTCGACTACGCAAGCTCATTATGCACACGAGGTTGAACGAAGGCGGACCTTGTTCCATAGCTCAAATTCAAAACCAGATCGATCAGTACAAGCTCGCCTTCATTGCAGCTGGAGCCATGCGTGCGGCTGAGCTCATCACTCTGGAGTTCAATCGCTCTGGCACCAAACCAGACACATGAGAAGACATTTCTCGATGGTTGTGCTTTATCAGCGATCCTTGGGAGGTACGCTGCCAGCGCTATCACATTCATGAAACCTTGGACGAACCGTGTGAGGCATTGGTATGAAGACGCTCGGACAATGAGATCAAGCTGAGATATTGGGAGGAAATGTAATGGTCTGGCCGTCGACTGGAAAGATCGCGCTGGCTGGTCACACTCGACAGGGATAGCGTTACCAGAGGAAACTGTACCATAGTTCCAATGTTGGCAAACTCGAATCGCGCTGTTGGACTTTGCTCGGCTACCTCAACCAGGAGCCGTGTATATGGATGGCGACCTTGCTCGGTGAGAGATATCAAGACGTTGGAGGGACGCTATATGATGCACCCCGCAAAGGATCAACAGCAAGGAGCTAAGTTTAGACCACGCCCGAGATCCAACAGACTAATGCAAGACTATTGAAGTTCTCTACCTCCTCGGCTATTATTGACGACCGTTCAGTTGTTAACTTACCGCTTTCTGTGCTTCCCATGCGAACACGGGTTGTAGCGGCTGCTTTCCGGAACTTTGTCATCCCTACCACTGACCAGCCCCGCGCGCAAAACGCCTGCTGTCCGAAATGAGGAACATACCTAGACACGAACCTCCTCAGCTCGCTTGCTATCACCAGGTAAACACAATGCTGCTGCCACAAACAACAGTCGGGACTCTCATTAATCAGCCTTTGCCATGTGCCAGCCACAAGATCTTGAGTCCTTTCAAACATCAGCGCCGGATAGGGCCGAAAGCAATACGATATGGGTCCACTGCCAATCAATTATGTTTTCTCACTACTCAAAACTTCACTTACTAACAAACTCTTCTGTGAAAGTTCGAGACCCTATGTTCGTCCCCAGGCTTAATCCCTGCCCTTCGTTCCTGACAATGCCTATAAAGCCCGACTCCCCTTCCTCATGGCCGAGAAATCCGCCCAGCCGTTCATCTGCTTTGCGCTTCATTGTTTGTATAGTGCACCAGTAGGTTCCTAGTGTTTCAACCGGTTCCTTTAGTCATGCGCGCCTCTCTCTCTATTCTAGGGGCACTTGGGTTCGCCGCCAAAGCAGTTCTCGCTTCTCCTGATAACGGGATTGAAAGCGCGAAAACTCACACCACGACAATGCTCCGAAGTAGTCTCGGTCGTTGATGTGCTCAAGCTGCATAGCGCCACACCATTCTGCTCATCCTTCCTTGGCATACAACCCACTACTAAGACAGCGGTCTCGGTTGTGAAGACCACCAGGTGAATTCCCATGCACGCCCAAAGACTAGCTTCCCAGATGCCTGACACTTCACCAGCACTTCTACCATTACGACCACTGTAACTAGCGGGACAGCTTCGTGAGTGCCTGAGAAGCCGTCTCAACATCCAGCTCTCAATACTAATCAATGGTAGGACTTCGGTCATCTTCGAGCCCGGGAACCCTCCAGCAACTACGGCACCAGCCAGAGTTCGCCGTGGACCAGTCGAAGTCAACGCGGACGCAGTACCAGAAATCATCCAACGCAACGCCAATCCACCGATCCCGACCTGGCTGACATCCGTTGCCTCCTCCGCCATCTCCAGCGCTTGCGACTGCCTAAGCATTCCAACTCCTAAATCCACCGTGACCAAAGTTTCATCTTCTACGGTAGTAACTGTGACCACCGCGACTATCACCGTAAGTGACCTCCTTTACTAAGCGCTCGCAAGAAACGTGCTGCCCAGAATTTGAAGACTCGACGCTCACAAACCTTAGACGACCCCCGCTGTGGTCTCCAAAACCTACTATCGTAAGCCAGCAAATCTTCTCAGTGCCCGTTCCATCGCCGACATTCTCCAATTTCCACTGCGCTCCCGAAGCTAATACGCACCTCCCGCAGCCTGCGCCATTCCACTTCCAACATCGACGCCACAGCTCCCATACGGCCTCTCCAACGGTGTCGGCGAATCCAACACAGAAGGAAACAGCCTCTATGGTATAGACACGCCGCAAGGCGCCTCCGCGGAAGCGTGCTGCAACACCTGCTATTTCGAGATCCCATACTGCATCCAAGCCTACTGGTACTTCTACGAAGGATGTGTCGTTGACCAGGTACGTCCGCCTTTCTACCACGGCAGTTGCAGCTGCGTGGTTTTGTTTGAGGGCACGGACGGGCCGAGGAAATCTCTAATTCTCAAATCCTTTCTCATCCAGAGAATTCACGCTGACATTCTGACCTCCTAGGCCACCACCGTCACCGGGAGCGGCGAGGGTATCAGTACCGTGTGTCCGCAAGGAACGGTCGAAGGGTTGACGTATTCCAACGACACGAACCCCGCGGTTCGGAGTACGGGGGATTTCGCGGGACCCTGTGGACAGACTTATGATAATTTGCCATACTGATTGAACGAGACCGAAGAAGGGAATTTCCGGGGATGAGATTGTGTGTATTGACATGATTGATGCGGACTGATATCGGTAACGACTAGTGTTCTAGTTTCGAAGCATAGCCTTCTTAGCCGGAGAAACATGTAGAAATAAATTTCCTGAAAGCGTTCATCTAAGTTTAGAGCGACTGAGTCGAGCACAGCCGGCTAACTCAGCAAGGAACCAATGTACAGGCCAGGTAACCCTCCTCCGCATCAACAAGCCTATTGCGTTTTTCATTCCGCTGTCTATGCCCATCAAAAGCTCACAAAGATTCAACTGCGGTCTTCTAACAGCCTTGAAGCTATCGTCAGACAACATCTCTCGCGTGTCGCTACACTACTATCCATCAAAGAGCTATCAGCTTCTGATTCCCATCCCAGAGCTCCCTTCAAGGACCAAACAGGTTCGTTCCAGTCTCCGAAGTCAGCAAACATGAGCTTCGCGATAGCCTGGTCGACTCTGAGACGCTATGCGATTTAGTACAAAGCTGTCGAAAAGTATCAACGTTCATTGCTTTCAACATTTGATGAAATGAGTCATCTAGAGTTATCCGCTTCGTGGAGCAGAGACGCCTGATTGTACCGTACGAAAACAAACCCTGCCGACCCTGACCATCCTCGTTCCTCCAGAGCAACCATCCTACATGAGCACACCTCGTGAATTCGAGGTACTTGCGGAACCTCATACTCGCTTGGCTCTGTTGCTTCCGACTATGCAAGGCCAGCTCTCGGCAACCCTGGTCAGGATCTCTTCTTCGTCTCTGGTCCAATGGCACAAAGTTCCCTAGTGCATCCACATACCGAAAAAATGCGCGGCACCCTGTCTGGCAAGCTTTCCAGGTTCCCCTACCTGCAACACCTGACTACTATGACGCCAGATTCTCTAGGGTTCTCCAGAGACCGTTTCGAAATCCAACAAGACTGTGGCGAGGAAAGACGGGATGTCGCGTTCCTTGATGGACATGCTGGTGATGAAGATCAAGTCAAAAACCCAGGGATTGTCATCCATGGAATACAACGCTCTGCAAGTAGGAATGACAATGGGATGTGCATGGACTGGTCCCCTGTTGTGAGACGGTAGATGCAGAAGACTACCAATGGTTAGGGCTAGGGTGAGGTCTCGACCTTCTACCTAAGTTCCCCCACTCCGTCGCGCAGCGCAGATATTTTCCTGCTGCAGTGATAAGGGGAGATAGCAAGGGAGCTAGCAAAGAAGATAGGAAGAGGTCGAAAAAGTCACAGAAGTGGGTGGTAGAAGTGGTAGCAATTGCTTTGTTCCCTCCGCGAAGATAAACTAAAAACATTCTCCACCATTGTACCAGCGCCATTAGGAATCGAACCGAATACTGGTGATACAGCATCACCGCGAACACACGAACGAAGTGTTTCGTTCATGAAAAATACCTACCCTTGATGACAATATGTTCTATGAGATAATTGATATGTTTTACAACACCACGAATAGTTCTACTATCCAAAAAGAACCGTTTTCTTCATGGATGACAATATCCACCAGTAATGCGGCGTCAAGCATTAAGCCTAAGCAACCGGCTTCATGGTAGATATCGCCCTTCAGGCACGCCAAGGATCAGTAAGACTAGGCACCTTATAAGATCCGATACCGCCCAAGTGGATTTCTTTTCACCTTCACCATCAGAAGATCCGATCCTTGGCTTATCCTTCTCATCCATCATTGTCAACCTCTTCCAAAACATTATCCAGAGACCATCATCACCTTTGAAAGCCTTGGCAGCCTTCTCCGCCTTACCCAACGAACTACTGTTTGATATCCTACTGCTCATCATGCCAGAAGACTTGAAAAAATCTTGCGCAGATATCGAAACTAGTTCAAGCAGTAGCAAAGCCGCATCCTACAGACCCACAGAGCGCTGATTCGGAAGTACCACAGCTTTGGCAACGGATTCGACGATAGCACAGCGGTCATCTCACTACTCACTACTTCGAGACATCTTCACCACTCCCCATATCGCCCATTACGTCAGAGAAGCCACCGTGAAATTCATTGGAGAAATTCCCGGATTTATGCGCATAGACTCAAAAAAGGGCTAATCATTACTACTCGTATCTCAAGCGCAAAGCTCCTACTCGACGAATACTCTTAAAGTACGAAGTATGCGGACATGAGGCAAAGGCTCATGAACTTGCATTCTCCGAATTCTGCGGTGCTGCAAATAAATTTCCCCAATGACAAGACACTAAGTTCCATGATGATTCTTGGTCCAAGAAGTTTGCTGGAGCTGCCATTTTCTCCAATCTCGAATCAATCAGAGTCCTCTTTCCTTCTCACACATTCGCAGAAAACACAGACTCAAGCCTTCCCACGCCCAACGAAAACCGCGTAAGATAAATACACACACAATCTGCCGTCTCCAACCATGGTCGAAACACGCAATCGTGACTATGACGCCAATCTCCGCTTCCAGCTCAAACCCCAGCAGAAAGAAGACCACCCAGCCCAGCCAAAAAAGCTACCAAAGCAAGGATCTCCAAACTATCCACAGTCAAAAGTTCCGGTGTCTGAAAACAACAAGGCGAGAAGTCCAAAGGCAAAAAAACCCACCATCCTGGGAGACATCCGATTACGGGGAAAGTTTCATCCAATTTTCAAGAGGAATGATTCGAGTGGGCTGGCGGCTGCATGACGACAGAAGAGGAGGAGGAGGAGGAGGAGGTATCGTGGGCTTAGCTCGGGGTCCAGTGGACGATGGGAATTTTACTGAGTAAAGAGGAGGGAGATGAGCTTTTGATCTTGATTAGGAAGGTCGGTGTGGAAAGTAAAAGAAGGCCAAAGCGCTTGGTAGTGGGCATTAGCGATGTGAAAATGGATGAAAATCTCGCGCTGTAGCTTCCAAAAAGTTACAGTCCTGCAATCACGCCGTAGAGATGCAACATCCAAACGCAAGAGCATCTCATTGGTAGACCAGTCTCCGCTCGTTGGAACCTGAAAGCGATCAACAAAAGAAGGCCTAACGACCGTTCTAACTGCAGCTATTCGCAACGGCGAGCCCCGAAATCCTAACAAGAGCGCCCAACTTCTCCAACCCCTATGCCGCCCAAAACATCCCCTCGCTGTCTGCCCACTCTCCGAAACGCGCCCGGGCTATGACTTGCAGATCAAACACCTAACCGAGACCCGAGTGGCTGCTTACTTGCAGCATGATCGACAGCCTCGGAGGATTATTGTTTTGCATCCCATGCACGTACCCGAGATTTTCTTCCCTGTTGACCTGCCGCCTGATTGCTCGGCCGTATGATTGTTTGTTGTATTTCCCACATATTCGCGGGTTTGAAAGTAAAACATCTTTCAAGAACGCTTCAAAAGGGCGGATGTCCAAGAATTGTTGTGTTGGAACCTGGGATCCGTGCGAAGACGATCACCATAGGAGGAGTTTTTGAGCAAGTATATACACAGTAAAAGGTAAGAGCTTTTCCTTGGCTTTCGACCGTGCTCCTGCATTAGCGTGTTCAGTAATGTGTTAAGCAGCTCCTCACGTTTTAGCGTGTTTAACATTGTGTTAAGCACTCCCAACGGCGCTCCCCAATCCGTACCTTTATCCAAGGCTGCGGGTAAGCATCCTGACTTCACATCCAATCGCACTCCTCCCTTCCGAGTATTTGTTCTCAATTCGAAGGATCGAGGCGGCGCTGTACCGTCTTATGATGCTGCCCTATCCGTGCATTTGTCGGATGTAGTGGTTTTGGGGCAGTGCTGGGTCTCTGGACGAAACATGAAGTGTTGCCCCGACCTCGCCTTTGGAAGCACTGGGCGCCTCACTACCCCTCTTTCCCAGGCAGTCAGTTGCTCCAAAGGGATATACATTGGGTAGCAACTCCCCCATCTCAAAGTCCCACTTCTGCACTGAGGCTCATCTTTCTATGACTCTATCACTCAAGAATCCTCGACATGTCTCCACCAACATCCAGAAGCTTATACTGCCTTGGAGAATCCTTCGAAACCACCTCCGAAGCACTAGACTCTCCGCTGTCTCACCCACCGCCCTTTGAATATCCATTCAAAATGTCCTTCACTCAAATGGTAGAGTCGTTCAAACATGAGGACTCACAGCACTTCCCCAAGAACCTTGACAAGAATGCCACTGTGGTCCCTGTCGGCCTCGACTTTGGCCCTTCCTGGGTTTCCGTTTCTTTCTCCGTCGACATCAACGGAGACCAAGGGCTGTACTTCACCGGCTTTGATTGCGGTCAGGTGTACAAGGACTTCTACCAAGAAGCTTTGAGCAAGAAGGTGCAAGACCACCTCGAATTCGAGGAATTCCCCCCTTCCAATGCACCTTTGGTGTCAACCGAGGAGCAAGCTTCGGAGCTTGTGGAAGCCTTCGCACGTCATATCGAGGACGCCAGGTTGATGGGAGTGTGGTCTTTGGACAAGAACCCGGCGCTCAACTTCAAAGTGATGGCGATCACCCTTCCTGATCACTGGGATGACTCCGCTCGCACAGTCGTAGCCAAGGCGGCGAGACTCGCTGGCGAACCCCTGGATGGCTCAGACATGATCCTCAAACTACCGCGAGCGGTGCAATTGGCTCATGAGATGCAGAAGAACACAGCTGGCACATACCTTACGATCCTAATTCACTATCACAAGTCTCACCTCCACCTGATGCTTGTCCAGATGTGTGGAGCTGGCTGTGTAATGAAAGGACAAGTCTATTTGCGTCATCTGGGAGAAGACATGATTCTGAAAGCGTCCGCTACGGACAGCGCTTTCGATCCCAACGAAGATACTCTCAATCAAGGCTCCCCTAGCGACAGTCTCTCTAGTGGAACGCCTACTAGCGACGGACCCCTCGACGAGAACCCTTTTGACGATGCCACTCTCCACCACAGCCATCTCAGCGATGAACATCTCGACAAGGACCCTACCCCCGAACCCTCCACCAGCACCCACTCTCCCCAAGACAACATCGACTCCTCCTCCGAAATCTACACAGAACCTCCAGTCCACCAATACCCTCACGTTGACCTAGAGCCCATCCGAGAAGCTCTCCAAAAGTTCATCCTTCTCATGACGCGGTCCGACGAGCCAACCCCACCAAAAGGATCGCCGCCATCCCTCAAACACGCAGTCAACGATGTCAAATACATCGTCCTAGACGGAACGGCCACCCTGCGGGGACAGAACGCTTTGCGCACGGTGATCAAGGAGATGTTCGCAGACACGGACTGGATCAACCTGGAGATGAATCTGCAGATGTGGGGAGAATACGGGGCCGAGATTGCAGGCCGACGGCAGTGGGAGAATCCGAAGCACTTGGGGGATTGGAAGGAGTTGCCGGGATACTTGGATGGATGAGCTGCATGATGTAACGAGCTTAGAGGTGAAACTAGCTGCCCATTCTTAGATATGCCGAGGCTATGAAACGGTAGATGATGATCATGAAGTCCCACGTGCCTGCCAAATGCCTTTTGTGTGGAGCTGTGAGAAAGTAGGAGAATGGGGATAATGCTCGTACTCGGCATCAGCTGTAGGATTCTTGACCTTATCAGTATGCAACAATGAGGACTCGTTTCCCTGACTCGGCAACAATTGTAGGATTCTCGTTTCTATCAGTATGCAGCAATGTGGGCTCGCTTCTCGTACTCGGCACCACTGGTAGGATTCTCATGCTTATCAGTATGCAACGATGTGGGTTCGCTTCTCGTACTCGGCACCACTGGTAGGATTTTCGTTTCTATCAGTATGCAACAATGAGGGCTCGCTTCCCGTACTCGGCATCGCTTGTAGGATTCTCTGCTTATCAGTATGCAACGATGTGGGCTCGCTTCCCGTACTCGGCATCGCTTGTAGGATTCTTGTTCTTATCAGTATGCAACGATGTGGGCTCGCTTCCCGTACTCGGCACCACTGGTAGGATTTTCGTTTCTATCAGTATGCAACAAAGTGGGCTCCATCCCCGTACTCGGCATCACTTGTAGGATTCTCGCGCTTATCAGTATGCAACAATCTGAACTCGATCCTCATCTTAAGACCAGTTCTCCGCGTGGGGTATTGCATTAGTGCTGCAGCAAACCATATTCGTTCGGGGAAAAACCCCCGCTTTTCAACCAGTTCTCAGCTTAGAAGAAAGCCGCTCTCTAGTGAACGGTAGGCTTGCGGCCGAAATCTGGGGCCCCGGAGTCGCCGTTCGTGGGGAAGATTTTCCATGTTTGGATCAGTTCCTCGCTTGCGGAGATGCCAATTGGTAGCGAAAAAAAACAGGTTCGCGGCCGAAGTACCAAGTCGAAAAGACAGGCTGATGTGGAAGGACCGCCCTGATTTGTTATATAACCAGGGGTTTGCCCACCTATCACCATCAGATCTTCACCCTTCCAGCTCACCACTCCATCAGCTAACAAACAATCTTCATACTCACCAGTGCATTCCACCTTCGAACAAATCCTTCTTCATCAACAAACAAACAATCTTTCTACTCATCATTTCACCTCCGAACAATCAAACCTCCAACAAATCATGTCTCAACACGTTCCGCAAACAAACCACGCAAACACTGCCGGGTGAGTGATGACATCCCTAAACACGTCAGCCATCTTCCGACAGACGTGGCAGAGCAAACAAGCCGTGTCCGAGACGACAACGCTCTGCCGAGTTGTCCCCAACGACACGCATGTTTGCTCCTGCAGTCTTCCGTTCGACTCGACATATAACCCTGTGCCATCCCCCTTTGCCATCCTTTCTTTCCCCAGCACGCTCTTATACATGCAATGAGCGATGCTAATATATATCTCCAGCGAGAGCCGCACACCCGGGGCCAATAGCGCCCCAACCGCAAATAACACCTCCGGGGCAGGGAACGCCCTGACCATAAACACCGTCTCTGCCACAGCGGGCACATCGGCCCCGCCCAACACGCCAATCCCGATCGGTACCGCGGCGGACCTGTCACGGTACCCCGCGGAGAACGCCACGGCGGAGGGCGACCGGCTCTACTGGGGCCATGTGGTGGAGCTCGACCCGCAGCGGGGAACGGCGGTGGTCGCGTTGTGGACCGGGAAGACTGACGAACCCCTTTTCCGCTGTTCGACGGCGGGCTGCGAGGGGGTGGGCCAGTTGAAGATGGGTGTGCGGGTCCAGATCCGCCATGTGATGGCTGGGGAGCAGCAGGGAGAAAGCTTCGTGCAGTTTTCTGCACTGACCCCTGCGAGTCCATGAGGCACAGGATGAACCAAAAAACTATATACGAGAGAGGTGGATGGCGGGTCCAGATTCACCATGTGATGGCTGGGGAGCAGCAGGGAGAAAGCTTCGTCCAGTATTCTCCGCTGACCCCTGCAATTCCATGACGCACAGGACGAACAAACCTATATATGAGAGGTGGATGGCGAGTCCAGATTCACCATGTGATGGCTGGGGAGCAGCAGGGAGAATCCTTCGTGCAGTGCACGGCAGAGCAGAATCCTGCGGTGACCACTGCCATTCCATAAGGCACAGGGGTGAAATCAAACTATATATGAGAGAGGTGGATGGCTCCCCGATGAGGAAGCGTGAGATTTCAGGACAGGAATTGCGAGAGTCATTTAGGGTAGCGCGCGACGATTCCATAGCAGTCCGCAGTCCCTGGAGTTGTTTTGGGGGGGATTTTGGGAGACTTATTGAAAGAGATATACCCTAGAAGCAGAAACTTGAAGACTCACATTTCCAGTTATTTGGCCACAGTGATCATGCATCTCCATGTAATCTAATGCCGAAACAGTAGACCGTTTAATGACTTAAAGCCTAGACTCAACTTCATTCCTAGATCAACAAGCTGAGATATCCTGCAAGTGTTCTCTTCCTGCGAGCAAAATATGGCGACCGAAACGTTGGGATCGCACGAAAGTCTGTACCAGAATGGAGGCTTTAGTGTTTCTTGCTATCTTTTGATTGCAAAGCAAAGGAAACGAATCTGCTGGGCTCACTTCCGATCATCTCATTAGTGTTGCCTTTGACCAAACTCGCACCACCACCTGAACAACGATCACCCTCTTCATTTCACCAAGCAAGCAGAGACTTACTGTCTGCGCCATTGGGCAGGGCGCTTCGCAATTCGAACAAATCCCTACTCACTTGTAGACCGCAGAGATTACTCACCCTCAAAGTCTTCCACCAAGAGACAACCCCCGTCAAACCACCCGACAACCCTCCACCTACACCCCCCCTCCCCACCTCCCCACCAACCCAAACCTCCAACCCCGCAACCCTCACCTCCCCAACCCTCACCCCCGCCCTCAAACCCCTAGCCCCAAACGACCACTCCGCCACCGCGAGCGCCGCCACCGCCGTCGCCGCCACCTCCCTCCCCGGCGCCCTCCCCCGCACCGGCACAAACACCGCCCCCACACCGCCCTCACCGATCGCCTCCGAGCCATTCGCCGGCCCCGCGCCCCCGTGGATCCGCCGCGCGAGCGGCAGGAGGACGAGTTCCTGCAGGATGTACGTCTGCTGCGGGGTCGCGGGGTGGTCGGCGACGGAGACGATGTCCAGGAAGGCGGGCGGGTCGAGGTTGCGGTTGCGGAGTTTGGTCCACCAGGGGGAGGGTTGGCCAGACGGCGAGGGTGGGAGGTGCGGTGGCGTTGTTGGAGGGGGCGAGGTGGGGAGTGGGGTGGGGGATGGTGGCGGCGGAGATGTAGGGGATGGTGGCGGAGATGTGGAGGATTGCTGCTGGAAGTAGACAAAAGGAGCGCATGGTGGATGTGGGTGAGAAGAGAGGATGAAAATCGAAAGCGTACCCAAGAGTGGGTGTCGGTGTGATGGGGCTTTTTCCAAGCCGGAGCGAGGGCGCCGGATAGATGGATATCGGTACCTGTCCACCGTGCTGCTTCTCTGTTCTAGATCAGATGCGATAACCGGCTATGACTATTCCATCGTGCGAGCTTGCGCTTAAGCCAAAGGTTGTGGCCTGCGGGTAATCCTTAGCCTCGATATAAATCTCATTCGCAGACCCTGGGTGCTGAAGTTACGATTTATATCGTTCCCTCATGCAACTTCATCTACTAGAAACGTGTCCATTCAGGAACTCGAGTTTGTTATTCTTAAGAAGATGTTGGCACAGGATACTGGGATACCACGTCAAAAGATTTATACTACGTAAATCTGAAGACTTCGAAAACGTTCTCAGTACCCGAGTAGGTAGAAAGATCACGACTCTTGACAATACTTTCGGCGTTCACCCCTAGACTCACTTCCCATCAGACAGTTTATTCACCATCCCTCTTTACACTTATCTCGTTTGCCCTACCCCTTTCTCCATCCCATCCAGTGACCCTCCTACCAATGCCTCCCCTTCAGATGCTTCACTTCCTTCGTCAAGTCCCTCTCCACCACCCTCGTCGGATCCCTAATCTTCAATCCTCTCTCCATCAAACGCCTCAACTCGATTCTATTGACCTCCTGCCCAGGTTGCAACGTCGTGCCCGCGGGACAAAACGTATCATCGGGCAATTGAATCCCAACACTCGCATCGAAAATGGCATCCGGAACGCACCAACATAGGTCCGCTGGGAGGTCAAAATCGGCCACGTTCTGCGTGCCGTTCATATATGCCGCGTAGTTGCCGCCGGCCACGCCGCAGCGGTCTTCGATGCTATTGGGCAGGCGCTGAGAATTAGGAGCTTCTGACCAGCCTTCATAGACGATGCGGTGACGGAGGGAGTTCTTGCCACCTTCGGGCCAGGGTCCGACGGGTGAGGTGGCGTAGTAGGGATTGTCGTAGATGTCGCAGACTTCGGTGTCGCATTCGGGGTTGGGTGTTGGCAGAGTAGTGGCTAGAGCAGCGGCGGTGCCGGTGAGTGGAGGCGGGTTGGTGTCGAGGACGACTTGGTCGTTGGGGCCGATCCAGCTATCGTTCCACAAGATGACGGACGTCGCTTGTTGCCAAGAGGCTTCGGCTTGGCCGCACTGGTCGGTGCCGGTGGTCGAGACGATGTAGCGACCTAGCCCGTCAGTCATGACGGAGCCGTCGTCGTTCCAGCCGTAAGTGCCGCCGCCGCCAGAGGTGGTACAGTATGATTCGTTTACGGTGGCCGAGTTTGGAGACCCGGCGTCACGGCCGCAGGAGGCGAGGATGTTGTTGAATGTAATGTTACATTGGTACGCGGTCGGGCTGGGAGGTATTGCGCCGTTTCGATTGAAGTCAGGGTTCACGGGGGGTTTGTATTGAAGGGTGCAGTTTTGCTCGGTGACGACTTGTGATTGCGTGAGATCTTGCCCACAGAGACTGTTGATTGCGACAGTGCATTGGGCGTTGCAGAGAGGCGGGGCGTCGTCGTCGGAACAATAGTAGCACCACCCTTGGTCATAGTTTGGTTTCGCAATTTCTTGGGCGAGGACGATACGGGAGGTTAGTGAGAGGAGTATGGGCAGCAGGATGTGACTGTAAGTTGAATACATGATTGAATGGAAAAACCGGGTCAGGCACTGCTCTGGAGAAGAGCGTTGAGGAGGGCGGGATTACAGTTCTGTTTCCTTCCCAAGTAGGCTTCCTTCTCCAGATTCCTGACTCCAGAGGACACGTGGTAAAAAAAAGAGGAGAGAGAGACGGTGTAGAAATCAACGCATTTAATAACGCAAATACTGCCTTCCCTTCATTGTGGCGCAAGCATATGGGTCGCTGTTGTTCGCACTGGAATGTTTCGCGCGAATAAACGTTCCATCAACAATGACTACCCTCGCTCGTGGGGCGGATGAATTCAAAATTAGAGCTTGGCTGCGCTTCAAGGGGAAGTCTGACCCACGAAGGGTAAAGCACTGCAAATGGAATAGATCAAATCTGGTCAGAACAATCCTAGCACAGGTCAGAGCATTGCAGCGGGACCACCGCAAAGTATGCAACAAGTGGTTCTGGCCAGTCGCAGGTTTCCGTTTCAAGGTGATGCGCTTGTAGTCGCATGTTTGTATAAACGAGCAACGAATAATGGTCGCATAGTGCGCTGAAACATCAAAAAAACCCTCAGGAGCTAGGAGAACCTCGGTGCATTGTAGTTCTCTCGTCTGAGAGCCATCAATCCATACTGTGTTGCAAACGAAATGCTGTATAACTCCTACTCGAGGAGATGGCAGCACGCTTCTCGTCGTCAAAAGAGCTTCGTTTTTGAAGGTCGAATGCCCGTCGAAGGAGGCATACAATATCCTCGCGCCAGCTTTGCCTCACCCTTTGCGCTGCACGTATTTTGTCCCAGTTGATACGTTCTGCAATATCGGAGATTGGTACTATCTAAGCTGCTTCTCGTCGACTAACTTAATCACACTGATGCAGTGATTGTATTCCCTTTCGAATTTGGAACATTTGGCCGGAAAGTAGAGAGGTTGCTGCTTATGAACGGTTGTCTACATTTCCTATAGTTTCGATGTCGGAGAATGGTCGGCTGGGTCGTTCTTTTCAGACGACTTGGGAGACGGCAGCAGCGATTCTTGTCGAGTCTTGTCGCTAGCATGTTCTACCTGGACGGGTATCACCATCTCTTTCTGGGGCTCATGATAATTGGAGAGTCATAGAACTCCACGGCCATCTCGCTTGTCGCTCCTAGTCCCCATTTCCATTGGGCTTCCGACATTGATCGTTTCCTTCGATCCTGTATATCACTTGGAGGCGTATCAATGTCTTAACGCCCGCCTACTGGAGATCGCTTGCGTTCGAGGTTTATGCTATGAGCTTGCTGCCAATCGCGATGCGTCTTGCGATCGTCTTAGTGGCGGCGGTGTTCGTTGGCTAGAGCGAGCTCCACTCCGACGCATCCCAGTCTTGCTCTGAGGCTTAGCTTCCTCGATTGTCCTGTTGCAATGGCTGGAATCTGAACCGTCACCGTCCTCCACAGCCATGGCTGATTGCTGGCGTCGTCGATCTTTTTAAAGGTTGATCATTGGTGCCATACAGAATCGATGACTCCAACAGCTTACCGCGTACTTCGTCAGCGAAAGCAAGCGGAGTCGTCGTCCCCTCCACCTTCGAGGCTTTCTAAAGCGCCGTCACAGGGTCCCCATGCCACAACTTTGAGTCGGTATACGGGCTTAGACCAGGCTGCTTCGTGCTACTCCTGGTATTGCCCCATGGAATGCCTCGGCACCTAACATGCATATATTCCCCGACAGCACCCTCTTCCACCTCTTTGCGTTGATGCTGCAAGTACTGACCAGGGGATGGGCTTTCACGAACAGTGTGAGCGTCGGTAGAATCAAGTATTTCCCTCCTCCTTTTGTAGTCTCGCCGTTCAAAGTTCAGGAAGTGCGGTAAATCTGTGGGGATGAAGACTCGGCCCGGGCTGGAGATCTCGTCTAGAGCGTCATGGCATAGAGGACAGAGGGGAATGGGCGTTTCCGTCTTGGTCTGAATGATGTATACCAAGGCGGCCTCGAGACTGCACCTCTTGAAAGAGCTGCGATCTGTCAGTTACTGTGCTCTACCCTCCGACAGTGATGTTGACTCTTACCACGCGCTCGCGCCTACCAATGACGTGGCATATGTGCGACTTGGACGTACTACCATGCCAGCATTGGAACCCCCTATTGAGTTGTTTCACCTCCTCTTTGACGCTTGGTGCGAAGCCATATGACACCGATGTCACTGCTCCCACTGAGCCTGCAGCGGACTCTTGCCCTCGCTTTCGTTTTCCCAGAGAGCCGGCGACGGAGGGTTGTAAGTGGACTGGGTACCTAAGGCGACAGCATAATAGCGACCGCGATCTCACACCCTTGTCTTGGAGCGCGCGACCATTCTGTAGCCATGGTCATTGCTAACGGTGATGAGGTGAAGCGGATCTCGCAAGGACAATCCAAGATGCCAAGCGCTTCTAAGCTCAATCGAGGATAGCGCGGGCTTCCACTAGTTGAGGCAAAACTCTCTTCAACTTTCCTCTGGCAGTCTTTCGAGATAGTCAATGTTCTCCCTGTCAACAAGCGCAGTAAGTAACGCTCAAAATTGCTTGTTGCTTGCGCGTTGAAGCGTGCCTTTCTCGTGGAGCGATTCCTGATCCACAAGGTTCAGAGCCAATATTCAAAAGACTAATTCCTAAGACACAACACTGTTGAGCCATAGGTCAGCCAGTACAGCAACCACTGGCTCTCAGGTACTCGATAGAAGATTCACTCAATAAATCTTTAGCTGCCTCGACACATAACACGTCGGCTGACCTCGACTTCGATAAAGGAAATGCGCCGTCTTTCCTATCTCCCCGCGGACCAGTCCGTTCCACACGGCACGTCTCCTGGTGCTTGATCAGACTAATGTGGCACTACGGAGACTGCCACTATAGTGATCATCCTTCACCAGTTCTTCGCGCTACTGGAAGAAAGGTCCGTGAGTTCCACAAGGGTTGCACCATAATCTATCAATCCACACTCCGAGTGGCGGAAAGAGAAGTCCGGAAGGGAAGCCGCTGGTGACATATCAAGCTATTGACTTTGCCCCAGTGAAAGTCGTATCTGGCATTTGAGAGCTCTGTTCGCTACTGCTATGCATTTTGTCGTTTTCGAGGCTAAGACACGACAACAAAGCATTCTTCTTTGGTTGATCTCAGTCACTGTTGACTATACTTTTGTAAAATATTCGAGGGCACGCGCCTCTCGCCGATCTATATTGTGGAAGCCTAGGAGCCAACTGACTGTCCGAAAGAAAGCCACGGGTGGATTTAGGAAGAATTCCTCCGAGGGAGGAACCAACCGGCAACCATAACCGTGGCCCGTGCTCTGCGTCATGCAAGAGAAGAAACACGGTCAATTAGTATCGTCTGGCCACCAATTCCCTAAAGACCTAATCTCGACTTTCTTTGGCCTCTTGCATGCCTCTTGCATATGATCGTCGATGCGGTACCGGCATGTCACCCCATGCGGTCCGTGCGGCGACCACGTATCCATTCAGAGTCCTGCCGAGTCCCGTGTATCTCCAGCCCCGGGACTCGGGAAGGCACCCGTGAAGAAAGCGGGCCAGCATGGCGTGAAGAAACAGCTGCATGGCGTGAAGAAACAAGCACGTTATCGTTTCCAACCCACCATCAAGTGGAGCCAAACGTTTGGACGAAGGGCGAATGCTCGGAGATGGAGGTGTGCCACAGGTCCTTTTCTCATAGGCCGAGGACAGGCGGTTAAACATAGGGTGCCAAGCTGTGGGCTGCCTCGTGACGAAAAATTCCCCGGGGCCAATTAGAGATTTTGGGGTTGGCATGCGGGAGATAAAGCGATTGAGCGACATTTTGTTGTTTATGTGATGGGCGGTAGCAACAGCAAATACCGTTGCCAGACGTTCGCGATTGAATACGTACCTACCAAGAGCCGTGATTCAAATTAGAGAATGTGGGGAGTTGGATGGATAGAGAGAACAACGCAAGAGGTCGCAGCGAAGCCAAGGCGAGTTTCTTGGGGTACCTGCAATCAAGCGTATCGATTGGCTTGTTTGTGCTTTGTTATGTGGGTTGTTTTCATCGAGGGGGATCTGGAATGTGACAAAGTGGCATTCAATGCAGCAGTGAAGAGCGGCAATTCTGACAGCAAAGAAATAGGTCCAGAACGATGAACACATGTTTATAGATTGAACTGACTACATGGCTATCGAGGCCGTCCTAGGAACTACCATGAGTCATGAGTCTTGCATTAGGCGGATGCGAAGACACGAGCAACCGCAAGTCTATCTTGATGATCGAGACGCTCGACAGTATTTCAAGCCGTCATAGATAAGGGTCGAAGTGAAAAGGAAACCAGATTGCCCGTGTGTTTTTCACCTTGTCCACTGCTCCACAGGCCAGAGCAAGATTTGCAGGGTAGGTAGGAACGTGGTCGGTCGGCGATGCAAACCTCAGCCTCGAGATCAGCAGGCGTAAACCCCTTCCTGTAGAGGTAATCGGCCTAATCAGCTCGAGTCCGCATGCTCCAAGGACGAACACATTAACCTTCAGCACTCAGCACGGCTGGGTGCAACGAGGGCAATGCTTGCCGGGCAAGACGTATTGCTCAATCCCCTGTTCAGCGCAGCGAGGACACATGTTGTCAAATTTCTCAGCCGGTCAACGACATCCATCGCTCACGATACTTGGATCTGACTTACCGGCATGTGCGCAACAGGCTCGCCACTGCATCTGCGGAGGATGCAGACGTGGTCGTGACGATCCTCGAGCGGCGTTTTGTCGAAAAGCTCATCACCGTCGAAGAGGCTGTGGTTGGTGGGAATGTGAATACCAAGGGCCGCGGCGTCCGCATACATCTGGGCTGAACGTCCAAGCAATGAGATGGGAGACATTCTGGGAGGTTATTAAGAGAGAATTCGGAGGGTTTCGAAATGTGGAAAGGTTGATGTGGATGTGAATGTTTCTCGTTCTCCGGAGAGCCTGTGAGGTTCTAGAGGCGTTCGCAGATAGGGGGAAATCACAGAATCGAGGGCCCTGGATGGTTTATACCTCCGAGAGCGACGGGAAGTCTGTGCGGAGCACATTTCGGTTCTGTCTCTTGGCCTTGGGGACCGGCGAGAGAGACTCAGTATGAACAAAATCTTAGAAGCCAACCAGATAGGGATATTGCAGCCCAAGGGTACTTTGCATCCGAGACATGTACCGTCAAACATGCATGAATCTGCACAGGCAACGTAAGGGAAGACATCGACCGCAAAGTCGGCAGACTTGCAGAGCTATCAAGATGCGCAACGAGCGCGCCATCCTGAGCTAAACGTCGTTTCAACAACCATCCCTCTAAGCCTTCTATGTACTCTGCCTGACACATTCGTAGCCAAACCTGCATGCGATCGCAAAGCTAGCAGTCCAGCGCTACCTGTCGATCACACCACCTTGAGCTGGACGTCGGTCAGACAGCACTACTTCTTAGGCCTCCGTTGATTCACTCTGATCATTCGTCGGGGACCGGGGAACTTCACCATCCGTTCTATCCATGCGAGGAGAGCTTGCTGTGAAGTCGATGGCAGCTGACGAGAAAGGAACTAGTGAGACAACAGAAGTGACGCTGCCTTCTAACCGAGCCCTTGCTGACAAGACGCAGGCAGATGCAGCCGAACACGCCAGATCGTCTAGGGCCGCCCAAGGACAAGGTTCATGGCTTAGTACTATCGATCTGATTGGGTAACAATCATGCGCTACATGCTGAACTCTCAAACACTGTCAAAGAGAGGGTATGTAACCTCTAATGCCCAGGCGGGAAACCGGACAGCAGTACGTCGGCCATCCCACCGGCTTCGTACACCCCGACCCCGACGGCATCGCGCCTAAGAATGCAAGTCGAGGGCCGGATGTAAGGCTCCTAGCCTCCCATATCCAATGGCTGGAACGGTGTATGCGATTGGATCTGCTAAGGGGTGCAATGCGCCTCGCATTCGTCCCGCACGGAACGGCGGCTCCGGATGCTATGAATAGAAGGCTTCGAAGATGACCAAAGTCACGCGAGGCCATTCACACAGGCGAATGAAATCGAACACCTTGGGGTTTTGTGGCTTGACAAGCAATGAAGGATCGAGCGCATAAAGCCCAAATATGCATCTGGAGCATGCAGTGAGAAGGATCATTCGGTTCGATGATGATGAAGGATGCATCCGTGAGACAGAGAGGCTTGCATCGTGGCTTGCGTACACCAACAGTAGTACATGCAATCGATTAGAAAATTTACAACAGCAATAGACCAACCCAATTGAGCAGCGTTTCCCCAGACTGCGTAAATAGCGGACTTCCTTGCGAGTTCATCAATCTCCTCGTTGTAGCCTTCATACCTCTTGAAAAGGGTTCTATCTAAATGGTGTTTGAAGCAGTCGTAGAAGCTCATACAAACCTGATCTCGGGCCCACAAAGAATAGTCCCCAGAGTTCATTGTTGACCCCGTCGTTCCGGATGTCAAAGGTAGCGCGCCAAGTCCACTGTTGCGCAACAAGGACGACGAACTCATAAACCTCCGCCGTAATAGTCCTCAGTGGTCCTCGGCGGGGGTCGTCCCAATCCGAGCAACGGCAATTTCCCATCGGCTGCGACAGCATAGTGATGCATAAACGATGAAAGTACCCCATAGACATCCTCCGTAGTTCTTCCGGGGACCGGACCCAAGGATAGAGAGCCGCGCCACCAAGCCCCCAGCCCTTGGTTCCCAAACAGCCATAACCTGATCTCGGTCACGCGTGGCCGCTGTGGGGCGGGTGCTGAGATCGCTGAGCCTTTGACGGAAAGGATGCACGGAGGATTATGGCGGAGGGCACGTTGTCTGGACCGGATTCTTACCAGTTATGGATTTTGCCATATTCATCAAGTGGGAGCTCTGCTTCGTACAACATACAAAGTCGGCATACTTGCACGAATCACTCTTCATTGTACTGCAATGTGTGGACGCTTTATTGTAGTAACCTCTATTTATGAGATCGTGAAATGTTGATCTGGTTCAGCGCGATGTGTTCCTACCTGCGCGACGCCTTGAATTATAGCGTTAAGAAGGTCGCATTTCCATCTTTCATTGATGCGTTACTAGATGCTGTTGCCTACAGAACTGTAAATGGAGCTTCTCTTTTCGATGAGTTGCAATTGCTGAGGCATTACCGAGTCATGGGAAACGTGGCGCAATCGGTGCAGCCATTATGCTCTTGACTGTATATACGATTCAGAAACAGGTGGACCACGCTAGTCACAGGCTCCACGACGCAACTAGTGAATTTTCAGGGGTCTTGACCGCCCGCATCCTCGTCTAAGGAACAGTGCTTCGCTGGAACAGACATCAACTATGTGGCAGCGGCGAAGATGTGTGAGGGAGTGTAGATGACAAAATAGCAAGAATACCCCAAGGCCACGAGACCGTGACGTATATTGCCATGCAGATGCAAATCGCTATGCATGGACAGCACCATTGCTCACGACCACAACCACAACCACGAAACAAACAACTCGCACTGCTATCGCACAAACTTCTCCATGGACTTACATTCATATAGGCGGATTCGAGATTCCAAATTCGATGGGTACTTGCACCGTGACAGGCTCTTCCTCTTTTTTCATCTTCACAGCGTCAACGTCGTATTTGCCGCTATTACCTAGCTCCCACTTGAAGGGCTTGCTCTCGACATCGTTACCAAAATTGACCACAATGCCGGCAGGCTCTGTCATGCCAATGACCGGATAAAGACGACCTTTGACGTCTTTGTCAAATGCGGGTCCTACTCTACCTGTCAACTTGTGCATAGGCGAAGAAGTGAGGGAGAATGTAAGAATTATCATACCTTGAGGCTCGCCGTTCCGCGTATAGAAGATCGTCCCCTCGACACTGTCGTTATAGATGACACCACAACCAATTGTGTCCCCCTTACCATAGGAGCCCGCATACTCCTTCAATGACTGGTTACTGTTGGCGTAGAGACGACCATCGTCGCCGTGGTAGGCGAAGCTAGGGGCTGTGGCGTTATACCAGCCTGGCATACGATCAAGGCGCGCAGGTTGCGTTGAGAACCCGATGGCATTGAAGCTGTCGTGGGATAATGATTAGACTTGATGATAAGGAACTTTTAAGGCGTTGAGATGCTCACAGTTTTGTATCATCTCCTACGTCCTTCTTGATTTCGATTTCGTAGTAGAAGCGCTCGATCCCAGCTGGTATTGGATGATTCGCAAGGATTTGGACTCCAGATGTATCGTTGCACGCTGATCGACTTCGTCAGCATCCGACCACTGAATACAAATCATCAAGAAGGACTCACGCTCTCCTACGTATTCAAGTTCGCAGCCATCCTCGGACATTTTGATCTTCTCGTTTTCTGTATTCCATCGACTAGGCCTTGATCCGACCTCAGCACCGCGCTTGGCCAAGAGGGCTGCAGCATCCGTGTTGCCATACTGCTTTGCTAACTGCAGTGGTGTCCAGCCGTGCTCGTCTTGCTTGCTCGGGTGTGCTCTCGCATCTAGCAATTTTTCGATGACTTTCGTGCTTCCTTTGATGGCAGCGGCGGCCATGAGTTCAGTGTCTTTGGCAGCAGTCTCCCGATCGTGATCGACTAGAGCAATGATGATTGGTATCCGGTCGCCGGACTTGTCTTTTGCCCAACCTTGTCCACATAGAGTAAGAGCGGTCTTGCCCTTTGAATCCTCGATCGTCGCGTCGGCACCCTTTTGCAAAAGAACATCTACAACTTCGATCCTGCCATTGTAGGCTGCCCAGTGAAGTGCTGTCCTCCTTTGTGCTGTTTCTTGGACATTGACCGCAGAGGCTGCGTCGATCTCTTCAAGTAGCATCCTCACGACTTCGACGTGGCCTCTGCCAGCTGCTTTGCTCAAAGGAGTCCTACCGTCGTTCATGGCTGTCTGAATGCTATTGTGCTCGTTTGCGCGCATCGTTTGAAGCAGGAAACGTGCCGTCTCTAAATGTCCACTAGAGCAGGCGAGGAAGAATGGGGTACGTCCATGCTTATCGCCCAGCTCTAGGTTGGCGCCGCGTTGTGTTAATAGCTTAACGATGTCTAAATGCCCGAATGCAGCTGCGATGTGGACGCCGGTTTGCCCAAAGAGCTACGTGAATGTTAGTCTGGACTGATTGCTGTTGATAAAGCTTTTGTCGAGCGGATGATGACATTAGCGGATGCGGTACTACTTACATCGTCATCATGAATGTTAGCTCCATGGTCAAGCAGCATCTTGGCCGCCTCTGTATTTCCAACAGCGCAAACCTCATACAATGGCCCTAGAAGTGGTCAGTGCATTGGAGACGAAGTACCTTCCTTAAGAGAACTTACTCTGTGAGTCTTTGTCATCTTTGTTGACATCGGCACCGTTATCCAGGAATGCACGAAGTAGGTCCAAGGACAAGTCTTGAGAGTTGTACATCACTTTGTGTAACGGAGTCTCTCCGAACGAATCGGGGACATTGATGTCACCATGCGCTTTCAACAGGATTTTAAGAACCTCGACATCGGAACCGAACAGCGCAAACCAGTGCATGACGTTGAACCCCCATTGGTCTGCGATGTTGCAGTCGGCCCCATGCTCAAGCATAAGACTGACAAATTCGAGTTTCGGAGTCCGCCATAGCAAGACGTGAAATGGAGGTGGGAAGTCTTTGCGTGCATTAGGGCTGGCTCCATTTTCTAAGAGGAGCGCTACGATCTCGATATCAGGTGAGCCTGCCGCAAACCACAGCGCCGAGCGCCCATCTTCGGTTTCTGCCGCCGCCGGCTCACCGCGGTCTAGAAGTATCTTTACGAGCCCTTTTATATCGTAAGCAGCGGCCACTTGTAAAGGACTCAAGAGCGTGTTGTCGGCTTCGTAGCTTTCATCAAGCTCCATGTAGTGGTGTTGCCATATCTTGAAGGCCTCTGGGCTCTCGCAAAGAAATCGTATGACAAGCTTCCAAAGCTCTTTCCACTCGTCGCTCTTCTCGCGTTCTTCGGCTGTCCAAACCTTCTCCGCACTTGCGAGGTGGGCAGGCCAATAGGAAAGCTCATATCGTTTAGGTCTCACAGGCGCTTGGGCACCATCGGCCACCGGTTCCTCGAAGATCTCCGAATCTCGCCTGCCGCCTTCACCATCGTCATCGTCGTCTGGAAATGGCTCTTGATTAGGTTGTTCCGAGGCTACCGCAGCATCGGCTTCACCACCTTCCTTAGCTATTGGCTCTACGTCCAAACTTGTGGGATCCTCGCGAAGGTGCTTGGAGTCGTCACCATTCGATGGAGCGTTCTGCGCGTCCATAGTGTCATCAACGTCGACGACGTCCAATGGGGCCTTCTCTCCACCGAGAGCAGATGATTCTTTAAGGGTGCGACCAGCAGTGATACCGTCCACGTTTTCACCTGGTGGATCTCCGCTCACCAGACTTGCCCTATCCGCCGCTTTGTTTGGGGATCCGTTATCATTGGCTGATACGGTACTATGTTCACTGTTCTTCGAGTCTTCGTTCACGGCGCCATCTGTCCGATTTGGAATTGCATCTCTGCTGGCTCTGCTGGCTTGATGTCGTCATCTTCTTTTCGAAGGTACCGCCTCTGAAAGAGTGGCGAATTAAGATGCTTGACTGATGCGCAATATTAGCTTTCGCAAGGCGGCCTAGCACGACGTGGATATCTCACAGATTGTAATAGCCATGCGAAGCTGCCCCTCTTTCTCAGACATGGTCAAAGGTTGGTCAGCAGACCTTTTCGATTGGCATTTAGCACACAGGTCGTCCACGCAATGACCATTGGGGGTGTCTGCTGCCGGATTTGCCTTGAGGAAGAATTCTTTGACAGTGGTGTGTCGAACAGAGACCTCATTTCCGGCCACTTCAAGGAAGGTGCCGCTTCCTGCTCTTCGGATTTGATCCCCAATCAAATGGTTGTCGATAGTGTCGTAAGGATTCTCATCGGTGCCCTCAATGCCCTCCGCATAGGCGCAGCTGTAGTCGTCCATAATTTCAGCGACAGTCGGCTTGATCTGGGCGAAGATGCTCCAGGTCAAGCCAACGTTGAGAAGCTCCAGGTAATCGGGATCGGTCTGGCGCAAAATCTGCTGGTACGAGTTGTCGAGACCATCTGGCAACTCCGCCAACCTCTTCTCCAGAGGGCGCCGCCAAGGTTTTTTCAGGAATTCAATTGCCGGGTCAACGCATCGAAATAATCCTTTTGCCTTCTCAACAATCGATTTACAGGCCAGCGCCCTTTCGTCTGATGACAGACCGGGCAAATCTTCCAGCTTGGCTTTGGCGGCTTTCTCGATATCAGGCCCGTTGTGATCTTCGACCTTGATAGCGGGTTTGTCGACGAGATCGTCCACTATATCTGGCTCGGGGCGACTGCAGACCACAATCTTCAGTGGGAGCTCGGACGCTGATAGTGTCTCCTGAAGCGTCTTCAGTATCCCAGTGTCTCTCCGATCAGTGCACTCATCCAAAGCGTCGATGACAAGGAAGATCTTCTTGCCAAGTATCTTGGCCAGGCTGGGGTAGGCGTCCTCAAACCCAACGGCTTTTTCGGATTTCTTCTGCTGGGAACCGGGCTTTGAATCTGCAGAGTCTTTCTTCCCAAGGAAATTTGATATCACCTCGTTGGACCTGTCAAGAGTATCGGACGACTCATCAGAGAGGGCCGTTCGATATAGCTGATGCAGCAACTGCTTCTTAATTCTTGCAACTAGTCGGGTTGAGTCTTCGCCCGCCGAACAGAAGAAGTATTGAGCAGAGCAACTTTTGTCCTCCTTAAAGGCTTCTTGGAGTCGATCGATCACGGTCGACATGAGGATCGATTTGCCCAGGCCGCCCACGCCAGAGACCCATAGTAGGCTACTTTCCGTTGACGAGCGCCAAGTTTTGTATTCTTCGAGCTCGAATATCCAGTTGCAGGTGTCCTTCTCTCTTCGCGATTTGTGCTTCTCAAGAGCAGTCTCGGCCGCAGCAGTTGGCTCCAACCGTTTCGCATTGTCATCGAAAAGCTCCTTTGCTTTGTCAAGAGGAGTCTTCTTCTTCATGCTCTTTTTCTCTTCCTCTAATTGGCGGATCTGGTTAAGGTAGATCTTGTTGACCTCCATCGATGACTCTAGGGTGTCTCGAATGACGGACAGGTCGGCCATCATAGTCTGTTGCATTTGCAGGCCAACTCCCTGCTTTTGTAGACCGACCTCTTGATAGTGGATGGTGAGCTGATTTGTGGCCTTGCTGGCGTACCCTGACATTGTTTGTTCATTTGCTCGGATACCGTCGATCATTGGTTGGAATTTGGCCGATGCACTTGTCAACATGCCACGGATGATTCTCACTATGATTCATGAGTACGGGTTCGTCCTGGAGTAGGGACTTGGCTCACAGCCTGTGTTTCTCCCCATGTGCTTGTTCATCGCGTAGCTGAAATTCAAGATGTCCGTGTATATGCCCGGTATGTACTCCACGACCTTTCTGTGTAGCTCTTGGAAATCCTCTGGCCCTTTATGTCCCCCATACATCTTCCCGTATACACGGCACGATATGAGAATGCCAATGATGTCCGCAGCAGCCCCACTGAAGAGGTTGAAAGTTGCAAAGTCATCCTCCACCGAGTGCAGGCACAGCCGTATGCCTGTCCATGCCAAACCCACACTCTCTGGAGCCGACTTCATCGCTAAATCCCCAACCTTCATGAAAGTCTCAATCTTCGACAGGACCCCTCCCAGCCCTGGATTGTATTGGCTATTTGCCCTCGTCTGAGCTTCCAAGGCAGCTACTTTTAGCTTGCTGAGGTGTAGTTTGGTGCGCCAAAAATTCTGCCATTGCTTTTTTGTCCTTGTGCCCTTTCTGAAAATTTTCCCGGGCTGCCGCCCAGTTCCCAGCCTCGAAGGTGACCTCGGCCTCGCTAAAAGTGTCCATTGAGGAAGACATGCCGGCGGGAAGGATAGATAGTGTGGGGGAGAAGCAGCCTTCGGGCCCTTATATGTAGATTGATCCAAGACTTATAGCTTGTTCAGGGTGGTAGAAGATGATTCTTCGACGACTGTCGGAGACGAGGCGGATAATCGCTTGACGTATATCTGGCTGGCCCCAGGATGAGCGTCAGCTCGGCGCAGCGTGCCAATGCACCCTGACCACGAGTGCGGCGTGCTTGAAGAGCCAAAGTCGTGGTGGAAGTGCGGCCATAGACCAGATAGGCATGCCTTGATGGGCGCATTTCAGCTGGTGCTAGTGGGGCGCCTGAGCGGAGGCCAGCTGCGGCGCAGGCCATTCTGTGCGCTTCTATTTGAAGGCTGAAGAATGATGATGGGTGATAAACTGTCAGCTTGTTGAGTAATCTGACGGTGACAGCTACATCCAGCCAATGAAAGCTGGGTCAGCAGAAGAAGGGAATTGGTTGGAGGTTGAAGTTGAAGGAAAGAGTAGAGTCCCTGCAGAGACAAGCGGTGATCCTTAACAGAAAAGGAGCGCGAGGGCGCGGATCCATTCCGCACAACATCTTCCAACCTCCATTTACTTTATGTTGTACTCTGGACAATCCAAGACACAAGTAGTGCGATCACACCTTTGTGTTGTTGATGAATTGACACTGTTTGTTACCTAGTACTCAATTTGAGGGACATGGTCCTAGAGTCTGTGGAAATCGGAAGACTCCGTCCATGGCACGAGGAGCAATATCCCTCGCCGCCATTCCTTCAATGGCTTCTCTTGTCAACCTCTCAAACGAGCTCTTGATCCAAATATCCGATTATCTATACCTTCCAGACCTTGAATACTTTGCATTTCTCTCCCCGAGGATCTTCAACGTGTGTCAGCAGCGTATTGAGGAACATCAACAGTCGAGAAACAACCATCGCCGCAAGGATCAAACAAGGTGGAGAATGGGCCATCCTGATCTCAGTTGGACTGATTTTTTCAATGAGATGTGTCGACTAGACTATGCGCCCTACGTGCAAGAGCTCATCCTAGAAAGGCGCACAGGAGTTGGGGGTCCCAGCCCTCGTCTTACCCCGGAAGAGTTGGCAGCATTCATTCAATTCGTCCGAGCTTCGCCTTACATACTACCAAATGAAGAAGACGAACTGGTAGGAACTCGCATCTAAAAAGGATCAAGATCCGTTTCTATGCGTCATCCTACCCTTGCTCTGAAACCTGCGTCTACTCTCGCTCCCTGCCAGCTGCTGTGGTGGAAACAAAAATAGGTCATTTCTCCAAAACAATCATATCGCGCATAGCTCTGTCTTCCCAGCCGCCTACACTACTGAATCTCGAACGAATCGAAAGCAACCTGTCCGACGGGTTCAACGGGATCGATCTTGTCAGCGCTGCTCCATTCCTCGCTCTTCCCAGCGTCCAATCACTGCTATTGCAGCAGTGCGCCGAATATGAGTTCAAATGGCCTTCATCGCTACCGAAGTCCCGTGTCAAGTCCATCTCGTTCATCAATAGCACCGTAAGCTCCAAAGCCATCCAGGGGTTCGCTGGCGGGATTGTGGGACCCTGTACAATGCGCCACGAATGGGTACCAGGAGAGATTCTCTTGTGCCTGAGTCAAACTGCGACTGGGATTACTGCGAGATACCTTTCGCTGGCGCGGCGCCCGACGATATGATCCAGAAGATTGAAGACGAGAATAACCCCCAAATTCTGAATGGCTTATCAATGACGGCCATCGCCCCTCTTGGGTTGGGCAATAAAGAGGTATTACGGCGATATTGCGCATAAATGACCGTCAGTCAGTTGACCTTGAAGTCTGAGTCCCTACGGTAATACATTCGGGCTTAACCTCTGCTTTACTTTACATGGCGAAGTCTCGGCAGTCAATCTACTAAACACATATCCTTGAATAGAAAAGCTTTTGTTATGGTGCAAACGTAGCATGGCTTGACTACCTTTCCGCTGTTGTACATTTCAATCTTTTATGTATATGACGGTTTGATCCAACCACGGAAGGGATCAAATTCGCTACCCGGGTATGGTCCGCAGAGGCTTCGACATGGAATAACCCTTACCCGTAATCCTTACAACACAATGCACATGAAGCTACATGTTGGTTTTCTCCGGCCAGCGCTATATATCTCTCATCGATCGAATAGCAATCTCAACCTTTTGGAAATCGGGACTGCGGGGAACGCCTTGGAGGAGTGAAGGGGGAACAACGAATGACTACCAATAGCAGTCCTGAGACCTGGCCGAATGCTCGGTATACAAGCATTTAATTGATTGCGTCCTGACGTTGCGAGAATTAAGTTTTACCGTTCTCAAACGAAGAGGCCTCTCAACTTTTTTCGGCAACTGGTATGCAGATACGTTGGAGAGCACGTGAGCGTTTCCGTTCTTTACAGGTACGGTGGCTTCACGGAAAGTCATGCCAAGCTCTACCATTCTTCCATCTGTATTTCTTTCCCTCAAACCCATGATCTTTGAGACAATAACCGAACACAATTATTGTCACTATTGCTCAACTCTTTCCTACTGCTTTTCGACACGGTTGTGAAAGATGGTTACAACATACTACAGATAACTTCGTCGATTCCGCTGCGAGTTCTATTCCTTTTCTCCTCCCTAATTCAGACCACCAACTACACCTCATTGCCAGAGCCCTACGTCCTACGTGGCACCTACCTGTCATCTTTTGTGTTCAACCTCGACCACAGGACATCCTTCCTACCCTCGCAATTCTCAGATACGCTACCTCCAACATGAAGCAACGTAGTGCCTTGTACAAGACGCTGCCCAAGATGGCACATTCACGGACATTGCGGCTGAGACCGCGGGCAGCTATACCAAGAGATGTTTGTACCACGCGAGCAATTCTGGCACAGGCCTTACCGGCGCAATCATGAAGGCGGACAATTCTCGGAAAGGCGTACGTCTCTAAACACGGGCTCGACACGGCTATTCTTCGAGCATCTCTACATCATGGTCACCAGTCACCGTTCCGAACTTCAGCATTCCGAAAAGTTTACCTACTCGTCCGGCGGAAAGATGTATCTCTTTGCCACGAGGAACACCCATCGTTTAATGCCGACTGTGGAGACTTCCGTGAATCTTTGATTAGTGGGTAGATCCACGTCGGCTGGTCAAGATGTTAGCCTTTTCGAGCGCACAAGTACACGAACTCGATATCCCGATACCTGTCGCCGAAGCTAAAACAGACTCAAAGTCAAACGCACCATGTGCCGAAAGTATATCGTGTCCACGCAGGGAATCTGGCTCGGGGCTTGCCACTGTCAGCCTTGGGGAACAACTCATACCATGGGTCGACGTTATTCATCTCGAGGAGTGTGCAGTGGTGATAGAATGTTTGATGATACCGCGATGAATGGCTTGCCCTTTCTGTCGGCAGCTCGCAGCGGAAGGTGCGCCCCATCTGACCGAGCTTTTACCTTATTACGGTTGGCCAGAGCTTGGGATCTGACGACATCCGTCGACCCGTCCCTAGTATGCGATCTGGGTCCTCTAGAGATCCGGCAAATCGCCAGAGTAGGAAACACCAGGACCCTGGGTTTGACTGTTAAGGATGTTTGCGGGAAAGTTCCGCCACTACTGAGGACCTATTAGCCGACCGAAGTTTATGTTATGGGGAACAGAAGAAGTGGATCGTTGGGCTTTCGGGGGAGATATACCCTCGCAATGGGCAGTGAGTCCATATGCCAAGTGCAATCCCTCTCCACTGTGGCGCGACTGTTGGTTTGTAGCTTCTACTGCTTGTCATTCTATTTCTGCTAGGTATCAGAAAGTCGATAGATTAATATAACCAGGTTCTGAGAATACGAATCTCCCGTGTTAAGGTTGCTAGCACGTTGCGGTCGTCAAGGCTTAAGGGTTCTGGACCTGCATCGTCTTGTACTCGACCCACGTGGAAGGTCCATCGAACCAGAGCTCCCAACGGTCCGGACTGTTGGTTGGGAGCTGTCCACGCGCTAGGTCCGTAATACTGTCATCCTCTGAGCTGATTCAGACAAGGTGGTGCAGTTAACTAGTTCGCTCATTTTAGGTCACTCCAGGATTATCTACGAAACCTTCTAATCGCTTCGAAATAATCGCCAATTGGATCATTCCAGACTACTAGTCTAGAAATCTGGAGGCGGACCGTCGGGAGCCCTGCATGAATACAGGGAGTGTCCGCCAGTGGGTCACAGAAGCCACCGGGATCTGGATGGTGGTAGAAGATGAGTAGAACCGCTAAGCGAGGTAATATCTCGTCGAACCTTCACAAATCGTGAAACCTAATACAAACACTGATACCGAGTACCCCACGGAGCCATGTGGGCCTTTGAGCTTCAAGGGATATCTTCGAGAGGCAAATGAACTCCTGCAATTCTAGACTCGTTAAAGATGTCGGACACTGTCCAGTCTGCTACCAATAAAAAATTATGCCTTTTGAATTCTCACCCTTCCGACCGAATGGTCCTCCCGACTCGACTCCGATTCCCATTTCGCAATACCGATTTACAGACCGCAAACTGTTGTTCTTCCGACGAGGTTTTGCGCGGTTGTTAGATGTCATCCAGCGCTCATTTTGGTCTTCAAAAGGGCTTTCCAGTGCCTGGACTGAATCGTCCCCGTCGATTTCATCGCTCGCCAAAACCGTCCCTTCACCCAGGTCTTGGTCCTCGGTTTTTCACCAGAGGCTGGCGTCTTTTACCCAGTACTGGCATGCCTAGACCTGCTGAACCTTGAATTTTACGACCCATCCCGACACACCTATACTCCGTTCCAGTCGGCGGACTGTACTCTTCCGACAAAGTCGTCGCGGACGTCCGCCGCTCGCTCCCGCCCTCACGGCTGCCCAAGATCCCGACGGTCGTCTTCACGACGGACCGTACGAAGCGACAGGGCCAGTTGGCGCAGTTTTACAAAATCGCGACGACGGATTGGACGTTTGATAATGGGAAGAGTAGAAAGCTGTTGGGACTGGAGGGACCGTTGAGTGTGAGGTTTGAAGGGCATGATGTGGATGGTTTTACGAGGGGGAGGATCGAGAGGATTTTTGAGAGGACGATGCCGATGATGGAGGCGATGGAGATGAAAGCGAGGAAGAAGAGGTTGGGGGAGGATATTGAGGGGCGGGCGAAGGCTGCGAGGGCAAGACTATGAGTAAGAATGTGAGTTCAGGATAGGATTGAGCGGGAACTTGTATACAGGCGTTTGTTTCGAGGCATATATGGCTGTCAATGTCAGATAGATCACACGTTGGGATTTGAAGAATGTTGGATGGGCTCTGTATGAATTATGACTACCACTCAGCTAGTTCACCATCACGCCTTAGCACACAGAGCTTGTTGTCTAGTTCCAGTCTTCAAGGCCTGCTTGTTTCTGAGACAAGACGTAGTCGCAGGGAAACCATCCTGTGCTTCAACGCGTCTACTGAATGTATTTTGCCGCTCGTCAATTTGTTTTACGAAACGACCCCATTTATGAAACACATAACAGAACCAGTGTTTCCCATATACGCGTACCCGTCGACACTATTTCGTTCAAGATCCTCCACCAGAATATACAGTCCACCTTCCCCAAACAACCTCCAATATTCCACCACTGAAACACCCACTTCTCCCCACTCAGACAACTCTAACATAGCCCAAGTGGACTAGCAATCCTTACCGCTTAGCCGTCACGGACTCCAAACTGGCTGTGAACACGACCTGTCACTTCCTGCGCGTTCCAGCAGAGATCCGCCTCAACATCTACCGATGCCTACTGCTCGAATCTCCACGAGCCTCCCTCGACCCAAGTTGTCCCGAGAAAGCGTTCGACGCGATGACGGATCGAATCCAGCAACGGAGCACCTTGGATGCCCTGTTGGATCAATATCTAGAAGAAAGCGGCTTGATCGACGAGATCGAATCCTACGATCCGGAAGGCGAAGGGTCGGTGATGTACAACCATCTAGCCCTCAATCAATCCAATCCACACTGGGAGATACCTTCACCCCCTGCTATAGACGAGGAGGAATTTATTCAGGGTGCTGGTGTCACGCAGGACTAAGACCGTATCGCCGAGCGTAAGCGCCGATTCGACGACGAACTCAAAGTCCGACGTTATCCGGCCATCCTGCGAACCAACCGCCAGATCTAACAACGAGGCTTCGGCTCTCCTCGACTCGAATCTCGTGATCGAAGTCGGGCCGGGCGACGTCATGTTCTCGGATACGTGGGACGGCATCGTCTCACTCGGCGACAAGATCTGGCGTTCCTGTCCCGCGCAGCCGGGCGTCGAGAATGCCACCGAGAGACTGGAGTACGGCGAGTCCGACCTCGGTGGAACCGTGGATCCTCAAACCTTCGCAATATTCGAACGGATCTCCTACAATGCCGATCTCAACTTCGTCGACGAGGACGAAGCCCGCCCCTGGCCCACAATCTTGGTCGACGACAACTACCACACGAGCCGCGAGGACGAAGCCACCTTTACCTCACTCCTGTCAAGAGCCGGCTCAAACCGTCCACCCATCTCCAACATCCTCCAGCACCTCGTCGACGCCCTCTTGCCACCCCCCTACATCAGCCAGCTCGACGCATCCCTCAGCGTCAAAGTGGAACCGGCCTTCGACATCGACGACTCGGACGATGATGAGGCTGACGGGGAGGAAGGAAGCGACGAGGGGGCTGAAGGGCAGGATGAGGAAGGAGGAGCGGAAGATGAGCGTCGCCAACGAGCGGGCGACGGAGCTGGTGTTGGAGGCCGGCGTTCTGATTCCGTTGGAGCGGCTTGAAAACGTGAGATGCTTGGGGCTCTCACTCGTTTTGCTGCAATGCGAGGGGAAGGCCGTTCAGGCGTAAGTCCGGGCTTGGGAAGATGGTCCGGGAGTTGAAGGGGTGGTCGAGGGCAAGTTTGTGGCGAGGCATGGTCCCATTTGAACTGTTCATTCGAAGAAAGTGAGTTTGATTGCCGGGCTTCTGGCGTACGATAGTTCTTGGCGCCGAGCGACTTCTTTTTGGATCAGTTTGCAAGCGATAAGGATTGCGAGACCTCCCGCGACGATAGACAGACGGTAGATCATCAAACGGATCTCCAGAGGGAGCGCGAGGATTGGACTGATTGTGTGGATGGAGGGTCCTGATGACGAGCATCCGTGTCTAGCACCTACTTTGGCATCTACGATGTGAGCCGGTGGTTCTGAGCCGTCTGACAACATGGTGCGTCCCTTTGAATTGCCTTATCAAGCTAAAGTATATCGAGGTTAAAGGGGTTTTGGCATGAGAGGGCACTGTTATATCGCAAGACTTGAGGGGGGTGAAAAGACAACGGGGTGCTAGCCTGTCATTGTGAGCGAATCGCCAGTTGTAGACGTCGATGGATTACCAGAGCGGTTCCCTGTGTCGCCCCCATAGTCTGTCATCATACAAGCATTCCCGTCACGTTGAGGCGGTCTCTCCCTGTAGAATGGTAATGTCATTTCGGAAAGATGGTCCGGCCTATGGAGCTCGTCGTTCCCACTTCAAACGGTTGAATAATGAAAAGCTTGGAGGCGGCAGTTCAGAGTTGAAAGTGACAGAAAGACTGTGCTTTGGTGTGTCGATTAATTCTCAAACTATTGAGAGAAGAGCATGTTCTAGACCAAGCTGAGGCGTTCAACAAAGAACGCACCTTTATCAAGGATATGTTGACAGTGCACTGCCTGCATTGCAACTATGTAGACCATCGAAGAACATGGGCAGTGCCTAGCCCGCGCTACTGCTAGTGCCTTGCCAATTCTGTGATAGCTTTTCATTGCCTAAAGATGATCACTGTTTGTTGTTGAGATACCCATCCAGGCCTAAAGTCGAAGAATAGCACCGCGTACTTTGAAGATGGGGCCGTCCTCGTCCACTGAGAATGTGGAATCACTTTTGGTGAAAGTGGTAGAGAGACCTTGTTGCGCGACTTGACTTCACAGCATTTGTCTCCTAAGCATACTCCTTGAGAGTGACGAGACCGTATGCCAAAAGTTAGCGGCCGGGGATATCCCTAGTCAAACTCGTAGCTGCCCGTTAACTGACAAGACGCCCTTCAGATGTTCTTCTTTCTAGGCGACTTCTGCTGCACCTCGGCGTTGCCGCAAGGCGTAGCTGCCAACTCCTCCATCAGATCCTGGAAGTGCTGTTGATTGCTAAGATCTCTGTACTCAGCAATGTGTATCTGGCATTTCGCGCTTTGATATGGGTCAGGTCCCTTCCCCCTTACAACGGAGCGCGGATAACCAAGACTGAAAACGGCTGATACCACACGAGCTTCGTAACCGCAGAGGGAGACCATGCGTATCTTCAGACGCGTTCCATCAGTCATCCACCCACCACGAGTCAGGAAGTAAACAATTGAAACTTACCGGCAAGCAATGATCAGTCGTATGGAGCGCGCGTCGTGCAAGCTTGTTAGCCCAGTAATACATCATCCAAAATTCTGTGCACAAAAGGTCCTTTTGCGATTGTGCTCGTTGAGGCTGAATGGAAAGGATGGTGATATGTGGACGGCCGGGCGAGCTAAATCCCTTGTGGGTCTGCATATCTATGTGGGTCCGGTAAAAGGCGATTCTTTGTATCTATGTAAGCTTAACAACACAGAAAGGAGGTGGTGCGGATAGTAACGCACCGAAGATTCTGGAAAAGGTCATCGCCAGATGAATCGACCAAAGCATCGTTGTAAAGCAAGCCATCAGAAATGGACCGTCCCTGAAGAATTCTGCGGTAGTGGTCACTTGATTTGTATGCATCTTCAATACTTGGACGATTGCATTCGACGAGATTTTTCTTGCACATGTCTGTTTCAACTTTTTGCAGTGAGGTCTCAATGTCACGAAAAGTTTCCTCCAGAGCGCATGTCGTGTTGACATCACAGGGTTCCCAGAAAGCGGTATTCGCGTTGGAATCAAATGCGATATTCATGGCTGCGAGATCCGATGGACTGAGGCTGGCTCCCCCATTGTAGGGGAGGTCGTTGGCGGGGTTTGGCACGAGTTTGCAGACTTCTCTGTGGATGGGTTTGAAGCCTGAGAGAATTTTTGAACAGGCGTCGTCGGCTACAACGGACATGGCAGAATAAAGACAATGAATAGGTGATGGCTAATTTCATGAGTTGTCTGAGAAAAGGACAGGAATTAATGTGAGAAGTGGTGGTGGAAGGGAAGAGGGGAATTTTGTTTGTTGGTGGTTGTTGTTGGCAACAGATGACTAATCAGGAGCCCCAAGTTTTGTTGACGCGTTTTCCTTGGCACTTTGTTCTTTATTCTTTACTCTCAGTCCGGTAGCATGCCTTTGATCTTTGTCACTGTGGTTAAGGGGCGTGTTGACCTATGTTGTCCCAGTATCTCAGCCTTTCATTGGCTGCTACTTATGTTACTACCTACTGATAGTGATGGCGGCCAGCTCGGAAGAGGCTTAGTGCTACCAGTGCTGTCTATCTCCTAAGGTTGCCCTGAGTGGCTGAGGTGAATCCTACCTATGCTTCTTCTAACACTCAGAATGACACCTTTGTTCTGATATATACATAAATAACACCGAAAACGGTCATTCTCATCCAATTCACTACTCCGTCCCTTAAGCCAAGTGAAACCTTCTGGCTTTACCACTCTTGCGAGTCCAATCGCCAGATTTTCCATCTCTCTATCGCCTCGGTATCAGCTCTTCTTTACGCAAATCAAGATGCCAGATGAGCTTCCAAGAAATAAACGGGATTGGAGACAAGCAGCCACACGCAATAATATCCATCACACTCAGTCACTGACTGCTGGTCCCCCTTTGGTTAGTGGCAGCAAATTCAAATTGCAACATTTCCTTCGTCTACGCGTCCTGTACATTGACGAACGAGACCCTGAAGAGTTGACTACAAGTCGCGGGTTCCCTAAGGAACGGCTTGAGGAAATGAAGAGACATCCTTGACAAGGACACTGATGCGGCCTTTTTGAGGACTTTCTTACAAGATAAGAGAAACATCGAAACCTGCTGGAGCGTGGGAAATGCAAGGAAGTCTGGCATGTTTGCCGTTGCATTGGAGCACTTGCATCTCATCTCGAAACGAGAGAACCGTTCCAAATGGACGACAGCGAAGACGTAACCGACCTCAAGATCGTTATTAGCCCCCCCAAAACGCGGAGCATGACTCAGTCAATTGCACACTATCGCGAGCGATTACTTTCAAATACGGTCCCTTCGACGCCTACCCCAAAGTCTCGAGAACCATATCGCGAGCCTCCACTCAGCGACTTCAGTGACGACTTTAGCAGCCTGAACCTGGAGTCTCCGGTAGACATTGTCTCCGAAGCTGGCTCGGACCTTCGGAGAGCCAGGTACGACTTTGAGCGCTCCGACTTCACACCGGGAGATGAGCAGACAGTCAACGCTGCCTTGGTGGCATTGATCATGGTATTGTCATGGTTACTCGGCCGCACAGGCCGTGTTCATCACGATCGAGCAAGATTCAGTATCTCCAAAGACGCTGAGGCCTATCTCTACTCGGCCTGCGTGGACGGTCTGATTATGCACCTCGATGTTGACAAGTGTAACGGTTTTATGGAGGTCAAGCGGGATTTTCGCGGTGGAAACCCTTCTGTGAGAAGACAAATAGCAGCGCAAATGGCTGCATTTATCTATGAGCAAGACGTCGTTCTCGCTCAGAAAGAGACCGAGAAAGAGGCCGACAAGGCCCGCAAAGGGAAGGGAATGGAAGCAGAATCTAAGGCTAGGGGAAACAGAACCAAAGACAAAGATGGCGGAAACCAGGAACGGTGAGCTTCAGTATCATGTCAGAAGGTTCAGTCTTACAGGTCATTGAACAGGCTCCAAAAATGGATGGTGTCTATGGATGGCTATTACGCTTATATTAATATCGCTACCTACGACCGACAATACGTTGAATTTCTCTCCGGTCATGGCGCCTCCGCCGCTGGTGATGCTTTCATGGAGATGGTAGAGTACGGACTCTTTGATCTTCGCGTATGGTCGGGCAACGGCCTTGAAAGTTTTTTGATGTACGTTGGGGCACTCATGCTAGGTACCGTTGGTCCTTGAATTCGACTCTAGGCACCGGCGCTAGATACTGCTGGTCTTTTTCTTGATATCAGGTCGTACGTCTTGGGTACTACGAGGCTCAATTCCTGATGGTTATTGATCAGGCAGGCAGTATCCTATCAACGTCCAGTGCCGCTCTTCCGGGACATCAGCTGCAAAAAAGTGCGTCACAGTGACGGGTCCAAACAAAAGGAGCAACAGACCGCTCTGCAGGAGTTGTTTCCCACGGCCTCGATAAGAAGGCTGGATGCCTCTCCGTCGACGGAAGCTCTAGAGATTAGAACGGTCCATGATATCGTGACTTTCCTCAAGACCACCTGACTTTTCTGTCTCTACCATGCTTTGAATCTAGTGACCCATGCCAATACGTCCACTCGCAGCCGCAAAAGCAGGCAAAGTATGCAGGCTGTGCCGCTATAAGCGGGTGATTGCCACCATCAACGAGAACTGATCGTGAAATGGCAGAGGTTGTGCTAGAGCAAATGGTGTTCACATAATGAAAAAATTGAGAAAGCTTACGCACAGCACATGAAAGTTTTTAATGCAAAGAGAGCCCAATAACACGAAAATAGGTTTTGTCGACAACACAGGGAACTTCACAAACCATTCCTCCATTGTCTCCAGCTCCCAGTCACACTTCGTCTACAGCACAGTCAACATCACAAATCGTTTCCCCCCCTCCCCTCCCCAGCTCAAACTCAAACCTACAAGCAACCCCACATCCTCAAACTCCCATCGCGCCCACCATCAATCCCTCATCCCCCCCCCGCACCTCGCACTCAAGCCATAACCTCAACCCCTCTCCAGCCCCCGCCAGCCTCCCACGCATAAACACCCAAAACTCCAAACCCATCTCCTCTACTAACAAGCCCCCAAACGGGCCAAGCAACTCGAACAACTCCTCCACCAGAGCCCCCCAACACCCCCGACCTCGGCGCATTCCAACGCCGCAGGACCCGACCCGCACACACTTCCCTCTCGATAACGGAAACCACACCGACTCTTCCCTTCCATCGCCCTCTCGCCGGTGTGGGGTTACTTTTGTGTGTTGGCGGCGGTAATGACGTCCATCTGTTGAGGTTTAAGAAGTTGGGAGTAGATGTTGGTGGGGGGGATGTGTGTTGGTAAATACCTGGGTATGCAGTTACTGCTATAATGAGACCTGTCACTAGTTATGGTATTCCTAATGATGTCTAAGGAAGAAGAATCCTTGTACAGGAAGGCCTTCATATACCAATGACTAGGCCGAATGAGTACTAGTGGTAGCGAGTGTTGAGTCGAACAATGTGTGATCTCGATGGCCTAGACAGACAGACAGATAGACGGATTCAGTCGAGAATATATATTCTTTATTGGCGCAATCACGGGTTTTTAGAGCCCGACGATGCTTGCCTAACAAGCAGGGAGGGAGGGAGGGAGATGAGGATGCTGAATTTGGTACCGACATCATTTCCCACTAAAGACCGTTCGAGTCTCTTGGCGTAGACAGTTACAATTGTCGCTGGTCGGAAGAGTGCTCCGGTTCCTCTCTCGTCGAAAACAAAGTCTTTGCATACATACATTCTCTCCTTTTCGAGGGAGCACCAGTCTATCTGTTGACAGTGGTGGTTAATCTGTACCGGTACCGACATCACAGCAGACGCGTCCCTCCGCTATGAGTATTCAACCAAAGAGCGAGCGAACGTGGGATCCAGCCGCTAGAATGTGATCTCACGTTGTGATATTTCGTCTCATCTTCAGATGCACACGCGGTTCAGGCGTTATACGTTATATCTATAAACAGTACAAGAACAGTGTATCAAAACATACAAACACTAAAACGGCGATATGGACTCGCTCGTCAGAATGACCGTTTCCGGAATCTGCCACTCTCCTCCTACTCTTCCGCACTCCTCTATCTCCTCACTCCTTTCCCTCGACCCCGGCACCGGCCTTATCGTTGATTTCGGGTTCCCAGACTTGCTACAGTCGCCTCCCTGTTGATCGAGATCCTCGCCGTCCTGGGCTGGATCGCCCTCGTTGGGGGATGCGACAATGCCCAACTTGCCATATTCGCCGATCTCGTGGTCATCGAGTGAGGCGGTTGGTGAAGGTGAACGAACGGAAGACGAGGAGGTCGACACGAGGCCTCGTTCTGCATCCGGCTGCTTTATCTTCACGACTTTGTAGCCCCAGAGGCGATGTTCGAAACCGCGTTTCATGCCGCCTGTCGTGCCTCATTAGCCGGTTGTCTCACCATGAACCTCAAGCTCCAATCTTGATCCTGCGGTTGAGGCGAGAATCAAGACTGTCGGGAAACTCACGCAACTCCAAATGGAAATACTCGCACAGCGGCTCCGCCCAGACCGTGATCGCAACGACCTGCCCGAAACTCCAAGAATTCACATCCACGCCATTGTAGCCGAACCACTCGAGATCTTGGATGAATATCTTGAACCAATGGATGTACAGGCCGAAGAAAATGAGGTACATTGAAAACAACGCGGCGGATGTAATTGTCGAGGGCAAGTCCAATGTAGATGCGTGGGTCTTCACGTCTTGGTAGGCACGGCGGGTATGGACCTTCATGGTGGGGATGGTGTTTTGCTGGAGCCTTGTGTATGTGTCGATTATCAATGGGTGTTTGGTCCATGAGGGCATTTTGCGTGATATTTGCTTCCATGACGGTACCTTTCTTGTAAGGCGTTTCCACGAGGGGACCTTATCGGACAGCTGCCGTTTCAGGCGGTGGTTGTTGAAGTGCTGTAGGATCGAATACTGCTTCCCACGAGTATGCTTCTCGGAACGTTCATTACGGGTACGAAGCATGTGACGCGCAGCCAAAACTGTTGTTGCGACGAAGGTGATACTGCCCATTTGTCAACAAACATTTCTTAAGTAAAGCGAGAGCAACTTCCATACCAAGCACAGACTCCCACGAAGACACTTGTGATTACGGCTCCACAGGCACCTGACCCTTCATACTCACAAGGACCAAGGACTTGATAGAACAGTGCAAGGGCAATGAAGCCAGCGAACCAAAATATTGCAGACAACGAGTCCATAGCAAAAGCAATCTTTTGGTTGAAGTATCTGCCCATTGGCTTCTGGGCGCGTGTATAGGCGGTAGTTGAGGTAAGGAACAGGTAAAGAACGAATAAAAGAGACCAACAGGAGGCAAAGATGACGAACTCAGGTGCGCCTGCCGACGGGAAGCTCCCGTCCTCATCATAGTATCTATTAGCACTGAGCTCGCCTCCGATACCATAGATATACGAATCAGTAACTGCATGATTGAGCGTTAGTATTGAACATAATCGGATGACGAGAAAGATGTGGACGCACCGTAGCTATTCAGACCGATAGAGATCAGTGCAAGTCCAAATTGGATGATTCGAAGACTGAAGTCATACTTCCGAAAGAAAGCACCAAGAACCCTTGAGAGCCATGGCTTGGGTTGTCCTGTCGACGGATCCTTGAACGCATGGTACTGATGCGCAACAAGGAGGATGAGAACAACGAGGCAGAACGCCAACATGGAGTACGCTCCACTGGCAGGATTAACTGAGCCGTAGTCCTCCGCTCCACCAACTGGATTATAACAGTACACGCCAAGGTTCCTCGTCCCGCAGGAGTCAGGCCCGCCGCTTAATGCCTGCTGGCTCAAGTAATTCAGGTCATCCTGACTAGGACTAAAGTTCCCAATGACGAAGAGAGTCGCGATTGATATTAGGACAGTGACGATCGACAATACCAAGAGGTACCATGACACCACGTCCACTAGGTGCAGTGTGAAGAGAGTGAAGGTGACGGGAAGATACCCGCTGATGGAGATGCTCTTGATGAGGATGTATGTGTTATACAACTGCTGCAAGCTGTTTGGCTGAAATCCTCCGCCGTTCCTGTTGACAAGAGCTGCAATGTTGATTGCTAGCATGAAAAAGCATTGCGCTTTCTGAAACTCGGCCAGCGCCCCCGTCAGGCTGGGAAGGTGTTTGTTTCTGGAGTTGTTTCCTACTCGTTGGGCAATCTTTTTGGCGTTGCTGTATCCGCGTGGTAAGAGAAGAGCTCCTAGGCACATGTAATAAACGCCCCAATTCCACCAGACCACCAAAACGAAACTGAGAAGAGCAAGCCCTGTTTGGATCCAATATGATACGTACACCTATCCAGATCTTAGCAGGCAGATCTCATAGAGCCCCACTGAAATGATCATACCCCTATACCACCGATATCTGGATTGAAGGAATTGGGGACGTATTCGCAAAAATCAAACTCATTTTCACTTTCATCGTTGTCGTAAATGTAGAAGGTACTTGTTAAGTTGGACGGCGAATTCCTCAAAAAGTCCGCATCAAATTCTTTTAGACCCTCTGTACAGCCAGACCCGTCCAGGGTTATAGTGCAATAATCGATCAGACATTGTTTTATTGTAGTAGTGATATTGTTGTACAGATTTGATCCCCTCTTGCTTTTCTGTATGTTGTAGTACTCGGCCATGCTAGCGTTACTCAGATTGCTCCTCGCGTACAGATCAGCTACGGTCGGATACACCATGCAATTATGCAAGGTGTCCAGACTACCAAATATTTGATTTTGGTCCTGGCAAGAAGCTGTACAATTCTGAGTTCCGTCGTCCTGCAGACAACCATTGTGGAATAGAAATGGTGGATTTGAGGACGAGGTGGGCATATCGCCGCCAGAGAATTTGAGGGCATCCTGAAAGCTAAAGGTAGATAGAGTCACCTGCAGGGTACTGTGCAGGGTAGAGTTGGTGAGGTCGGAAATCCACGCCATCGTGCTTCGGAAGAGCGACCAAAAGGAGTGCTATCTCTGCGGTCTGAATGAAAAGAATCGCAACGTGAACGAGACTCGAGTCTAAAACATTGCGCAGTTTGGGTCCACTTTCTATGGAGCTTGATGGTCTGGTCAAGCTCGTCGGTAAAGAAAAGAAGGGGGAAAACGGCGAAGAAGAGTGGGAAGAAGATTAGGCATTAGGTATGAGGAAGCCCGATGATGAGATTGTGAAGGAGAAGATGTCAAAGGTTCTTCAATCACGCCTTGGTCCGTGCCTGAAGATCCGGCCATTATTTTGAGGCTGAGCTTCGACGCTTGATGCACGTTATGCAGAAGACATGCGCTTTCTTTTCGAAATATCCCAAATTTGCAGGGGCGCGTAGATAGCAAGCAGGCTGTGCCGTAGCTTAGGCAAGTCAAGACGTACCTATCCTGTCATGTCCTTTAGCTTCCTTGAGTCGATCCAATGATATGATGTATGCGATACTGATATTGTTGGAAGGATCAATAGACTTGAGTTGAGCTGACATCCTGAACACTGAGATGTTGGGATGTTTTAACCTGTGTAAGAAATACGTGTTACAAGGCCGCGCTGGATTTTTATGAGGGTAAAAAAAAAAAAAGGGGCCCCCCTAAAAAAAAACCTTTTTTTTTTTTTTTTCGTCGCTGATCTCGCTGTCCGTGAGGCTATTCGTACAATGAGGGCTCTCCGCCTTCCCGAGGTATATAGGGCGAAAGAAGACTCGCCGCCGTGGAACTATGGGGAAGAGATATATAGTCTGTCTATCCTCTCTACCCGCCTGCTGGCGCCTCTAGCCGGGTATATTTATTATCGTGCGAGTTCTTTAGATTTCTTAACCCTTATTGCATAGTCCTTTGCGGCTCTTTTGCTTATTAAGGCTGATAGAGGTTTTTCGCTTGTAGGGGGTGTGGAGTAGGGGGTGTTGGATGGTGGCGACGGGGATCTAAACGCGTTAGGTATGTGCCGCGACTCCACTCGTATTAGTAAGATCCTCTTATTTCTCCTCGCGGGCTATATCGTCTCCGGGAACCTCTGGGGGACGATCTCGATTAATGTCTTTGGTGGTTTATTATCTGTCCTTCTAGTAGCCCCGTATTGCGAGGACTGACGATACGCGTTTTTAGAGGTTTAGTGGCGGGGCGGAGTTGTGGATGTTTAAAAAATTGGTGGCGATAGCGGGTTGGGAGAGGTGTTGGTGGGTGTTTGCCTTGTCCCTCGCCTGTAAGATCGCTAGCCCTTGGTTGCTACTACTTCGGCTAACACGATTGTGCAAATCTCGTATCTTCCGATGGTTATTTTGCGTACGTCTTTAATTTTTAGTTTTTTTAGTTTTATTTTAGGTATAATTTAATTTATTTTTTTATATAATTTATTTTTATATATGTTTTATATCTTTATGTTTTTTTAGATTATTTTAGATTGCGTTATATAGTATTTAAAATTGTTTATATTAATTTGTATTAGATAATTTTATGTTTTTTTTAGATTGTTATATATATGTTTGAGGTTTAACGTAATATTAGTGATTATATACGCTAGCTCGAGACTAATTTGTTAATATAGAATATTAAGAAATTTATTTTGATATTAAATGATCCGTATGGGAGTTTTTAAAGAAATGATAATTAAAATAATGGTATAGTTATTTTTTTTTATATATTTATATATGTTTTTATTTTAATGTGGTATTTATTGGTTTTTAATATTTAAATACGTTTATTGTTTGTAATGGATTTGGGTTTTGTTTTTTTGAAATAAGCTCTGCGTGAGATTGGTTTAAATGTTTGATTGTGTAGTGGGGCTACGAGGGGTTTGGGGAGCCCGGGGGTGTTTGGTCTGACTGTGATTGCTATCCGGATTCGTTGGGGGGGGTTAAGATGTTGAGGAGATTAAATTTAGGTCATAGAGACCTTTGTGTGTAGGTAAAGGATCCAAACTCCGCCCTACGAGTCTTGGCGCCGTCTCGCCTGAACTCCTCAGCCTCACTCATCCTTCTTTTCCATGGCGCTCTCTGTGCCTGTCACTCTCTGCGGCAAACAGTGATGCTGCTATACACTATCTGGGCACGACAAACATCGCTAAAGTATCTGCACTGTCGCGGCCATGATGAGGAGTGGTGCAAGCCTAAATTCAAGTCCCAGGGGGGAGGTTTGATGTCTGCTGGTTGGGATGGTGGACTCCGGCAACATCCATCATTGGGGGCTCGACGTGGCTCTGCGACACTCGATCAGGACATGCCATGGTCATTCTTCCTCTAGCTAAGGCGTCCTATTGCATTGCGCATCGCAACCAGCACTTCAGGATGAGGTCCAACTGGTGTGTACCCTTCCTTCTCCTCTCATACTCCTTTTACGCACCATCGCGCTCTTTGGCTGACATCCATGTGGTAACAGCATCAGTCTCCGAATTCCCCGCATCCAAGGACCTTCCCAATATCCTGGGAGTTTCAATGCCTCTGGCAAATGAACAACGCAGTGACGTATTCGAAAAAGAGCTGGGCATACAACGAGCAACGGGGAAGACCACGCCTGGGCCACGTCATCAATCTGGTTCGACTCTCAGAGGCTTGAATTTGGGTAGTGAGCTCGACGGTGATGTCCGAATGCCATAGAGTGCAAAGAAAATGCGGGAGTACTGTGTAATACACAGCATTGATGTCACTGCTGGTTAGGTGCACTGCAGGAATTTCTGCTTGACACATTCACTGAGCGATTGAGGTGGAAGAAATGCCTCTCGCTTCGACATCGGGCATTGTTGCTCTCGCTCTAATTCAGCATTCAGCTTCTGGTAACTCCCACGCGGTCGCCCAAATCCACGATAGTCGTCGCCATTCCCGATCCCGATCGATACGAGGGCATCAACAATCTGATCCAGTCATTCTGGAATGCTCACGAGTATCCCACTCTCTACTTAGGCTGTCAAGCAGATCTACTCGATACTCCCCTTGCTCGCTTCGGTATCTACGCGATTCAATTCAATCCCTTCTCGAGCTCTCCATCAACGTTGACGGTTCCCTTTTCTCGATCCGTTCCCTTTCCGAAAGCCGTTACGGCTCCCTCGAGGGCTAAAACAGTAGACAGAGATGCAAACTTCCTCGAAGCTAGAGCAAGACTTAATTCAAGCCAGAGGTTGCCGGACTCTTTTGCCACTGGGGCTTTATGCGCTTAGATTTCTTGGAAGTGATGAAGCTCTTATTGCCTTCTTTGCCCTTGTCCTAGCGGCACTTCTTATGAATGGAGGACCCAAAGGTTCTTGCGCATCCGCGCTTAGTCTAGGGCCATTCAGATGTGAAGCTAATACTCCTCAGTGAGGCCCCGCACGCACTGCAAGGAACCTCGAAGTGCCGGAGCACTGCAGCGGTCAAGGTGGTCCACCGTGTTATTCTCAATCGATACCGTCCACATAAAACCATCGGCCCCCCACAATGTTATTCGAAAAGCTCAAAGATTGAGTCTTCCTTGTTCCTGTAGGACTAAAGCTGGCTCGATCTCCCTGCTTAAGCCAACGCATTTCACACATGCAGAGGTTGTACCTACGTCCTGCCATAGCTCATGATGCAACTCAGAACACCTGTCGCACCATACATCTGCGTTCACCTCATCTCAGCTAATTTGCTTCGCACAGACTCTGAGTATCAACTAATTTCACTACTCTGCACAACGCTATCTCATTCATTCATGTTTGTCTTTCAACAGCAGCGGGCTGCTTTCGAAACCAGCTTACCCTTCTTCTGCTTCGCGTCTCTTCAGTCGTTGTAGCCTTTGCCGTGCTTTCACAACGACAGTTTTCCTCAAATGAAAAGAACTTCTCCGAATCTGGTTCATTTAGACGAGAGCGTGCTTCAGGGTCCGCTGCCGAAAGCACTAATTCACGGGATCTATGGTTTCGTTAGCCAGACACGGGTCAAGGGACATGCAACCAATGAGGCTTTGAGCAGTCAGCGACCGTTACACTAGCTCTTCGGTTGATTCTATGTCAAGTATCCTACTGTGGCTGATTCCAGAAGTCTACAGTATCAGTGGCGTGCGCAATCCTTCATGCCGACGGCGAGATGTCGTACCAGGACTAAAGAGGCAGGTAATGAACCTCAGTCACCTCCTCCACGTGCAATGAACCGAGTAAAGTCTCACACCTCCATGCCTGCAGACGTTTGTAGGTATGATTCGTGGCGTAATCACTAGCTCACTCTGTCCATCTTGGGCTTATGAAGACGGCATTTGGAGGTCAGCCCCGCGCGCACCGGTGCCTGCACCCAAGCAAGTGCATTTCCAGCTCGGACATCCGTCTCTTTGGTCGACAACTACTGGATGGGTTCTCTTCCCAGACCAGCCTCTTCAAGCATAAGAACCAAGGTTTTGCTCACCCTCAAATCTGCTTTCCGGTCTGCAGCTTTCGCTGACTGCACTTGAAAATTGGTGTCTCCCTCTCTTAAGTCAACAAGGCTCTTTCGTATCTTTGGGAGCCATCCCTATACTCTACATACTGTCCTCTTTCCGAGTCGTCTTCCATCCCAATCATGCGACCCTTCACCGCCCTAAGCCTTCTCTTGGCATTGAGCGGTTCCGCGTTCAGTGCTCCAGCCCCAGAGAATGACCTCAAGATCAGGAACGTGGACGAGTGCAAGGCCGTCACCGTCATTATCAGTGTTCTCAGCCAGTACAAAGCTTCTGCAACATCGTTCTGCAGCTCCTTCATCTCAATACCAGTGAAGACCGTCACTTCAGCTACAGCACGTGACTTGCTTCTAGCCAGCAAAGACCCTGGGGAAACATTGCTGATTCTTACAGACCACGACGTCAACGCCGAAGCCTTCTACGGTGACATCCACCATTACAGTCACGCCGAAGGTGTACGTCATATTTCCTCACCGTGCGTCCCTGAAAATCCGAATTGCTAAACTCACACACCATCGCGCAGCTCCGTTACAGCTACCACCACCACCACCCCAACAGTCATCTACAGCATCACCTCCGCTCCCGCCAAACGTGCTATCTCCCCAAAACTCGCTGAACGCAACATTAACAACCAGCCCATTCCCTCCTACGTGTCCGCCTTCGCCTCGTCCGAGATTTCCTCTGCCTGTTCTTGCCTCTCCATCAGCCCTTCTACCACAACGGTCAAAACAACCTCCACAGTCGTAGGTCCAGCCCCTACAACCGTTGTCAAAACTACCATTACCGCATCCACCGTCACTACTACTATTTCCACGGTCACTGTTACTGCTTCGTCTACCGTCACGGAGTGCGCGAATGCGCTGCCGACTGTGAGTTGTCTTTTCGGAGCCATTTCTTCTTGATTGGATTTTGCTTCTCAATTGCAAGACTTCTCGCAAACGTAGAACAATCCCGGAACCTGTTTCAAGATTCCAACCTGCGTCCAAGAAGCGACGTGCTGACTCCGAAACCCTCAAGTTCATCTTGAAACTAGCGAGCCCGGTGGTTCTGAACGGTGCCCAGCTCGAAGGCACTTACGATCAGATCGACGACGGAGACGGCGAGCTAGTGGGCTTCAACGGCCTCACCGACCCTTCCGCCGCCGGTGTCCTCTCTCTTACATCAACCGGCTTCCTAATGATCGACTCAGTCGGTCAAATCGCATTCCGCATTCCAGGCCAGTAAGACTCCCATCCTCTGTCCCAAACTGAAATCCTCCCGCCCATACTCATTCCAAGCCCCCATCTCCCCAAACCCCCTCCCCTCCCTCCCCTCCCCCTCCCCTCCCTCCCTCCTCCTTCCTCACAAACCCCACCGACTAACCCACCCCGTCCCACTCACCAGAACGGGCCTCCAACTCCTCCTCTTCGACCCCCCCGCCGAAGTCGAAGCCAGCGACACCCCCGTCGTCTGCAGCGTAGCGACCGGCGCCCTCACGTGCTCCGACGGGGTGAATTCGGTCCTGCAGCTGTGTCCCGGCTTTGCGGTGACGGACGATTTGTTCATTGGGCCGGTGGTGGCGAGCGGGTGTGTGGGGGTCGTGTTGGATGTGCTGCCGGTTTGCATTGTGCCGTAGGTGCATTTGGGTGGAGCAGGACTGGGTGAGGGTGGGGATGGGGATTGGGGGATGGGGATGGGATGTGGAAAGGTGGAGGTTGATAAGAGTGACCAGGCTGTATTCTTCGCGCATCCATTGATTCCGCACGGCCGTGGGTGACATGTCAATGAGCGCATTCAAGATCTTACGCACGAGGCCCAAAAAATCAAAACCCTACAACACATTCCCGAAAGCCTCTATCTGCGTGGTACATGGTGCTTGGTATGTAGTGTGCAATCTCAGCACAGAGCACGAACAACTTCCACGCCCCTTGAGAGTCTTCTTCACTGCCATGGTTCCTGGCCTCTTTCCTCCTCTGCCAGCACACGCACGAGGCCCAAAGGGTCTAGATGGCGAAATTAGAGACATTTAAATCGCTAGCTAGGTAACATCCATGAAGACTCCTCCGCGCATCGAACCGAGCCGCTTGCGTGACGCAGAGCACGAACCCTTTCCATACTCATTGCCATGCATCTTCTTCGCATATACGTACAGACGGTATCGAAGATCGTATGCACGAAGCCCGAAAAGATCAGATGAAGAATACATTGGGAGAGATGTTAGTGGGTAAGTAACATCCAATCCAGTCTCTGAGACGGAAACATTCTTACGATCGAATCGAACGGCATGCATGAAGTAGAGCGCGAAGCAGGCAGTCAAGGTCATAGTGACCCAGAATGTCGTTGTCCGCTTGGAGTACGAAGGAAGACAGGTAGGTAGGTAGATACACCTCTGCAAATCATACCTGTAAATTCTACCAATGAGCTCTTAACCTTGTCAACGAGACGCACAGACTATCAGTCATTTTTCCTATCCCTATTCGTATTCCTATTCTGTTCAATCTTATTCGTACAACTCCCACCCTATCGCAAACCCCCCACGCTACCAAACAAACCACCACCACCACCACCACCACATCAAACCCCCCCCCCAAATCACAGCCCTCCCCCAACCCCACCCGCACACACACCCTACCAAACGAACAAAACAAAAACAAAACAAAAAAAACAAAAACAAAAAGCACAGCCACAACAGCAGCCACCACAGCCCTCAGAAGCCCACCTCGACACCCAAACCATGCGATCTCCCCACGTAGCCGGGGCGTACGAATTCCCGAAACCGTGCCTCCGTACGATTACAACTAACCCCCTACACCAACCCAGCGCTTTTTTGCATAAACCGTACCTACCTACCTACCTACGCCCCTACCGCCTCAGATTCAAGTACCGATGCCGGAGTGCGGCCGTTGAGCCGGCAGGATGGCGCGGTTTTTGGTATTACGTACGTACGTAGGCATGGACATGACTCTGTGATGGGATTGGTGCTGCGGGGATGATGACTCGAGAGGGATGGTTGGATGGTTGGATGGATGGATGGATGGATGGATGAGATGGAGAAGGAGGTTGTATAGTAGGTATATTAGTAGATTGTGTGTGTGTGTGTGTGTGTAGAAAACCAGGGCGGGGCGCTCGCAAGTGTGCTTGCTTGCTTGTTTGCTTGCCGTCCGTCCGTCCGTACATACAACACAGGCCTGCAACGGGTATTCAGAGATCTCGAAGGCCCATCCGACCAAACGCCAGAGCCGGGGATCGAACATCCGCGTCCGTCGCGTGAGATCGGTCGTAGCATGTCAAGTGACCGAGTATAGTAGAGTACCGAACACTCAGGACTGTTTTGAGGAACGGGATACGTGCGGAAGGCGAGGCAGAGTTTGGCGGCATGGCTACGGCGGTTTCGAATACAGATACGGAACTCCGCATCACGAGGCGGGAAGGGAGGGGGATTGCGTATAACGTTGTAGGTTGGAAGGAAGAGGGAGGGGTTGAATCGTTGGTCGGATAGTAGGGTGGGAACGGGAAGGTGATTGGAGGAGATAATGATGCATTTTCACAGTAGGGTGAGGCCGTGTGGATTACTTATTGTGCAGGGGTAATATTGAGTTGCATATACCTAACTTGGTGACCGACGTGTTTAGGCGTAATGCATTGATTTCTGAATTCATTGCTCCTGTCGTGCGGTATGTACCCCTAGATCAGCGCCAGAAGAAGTATGAAATCTTTTCTCTGATGGTTGTTCGTTCTTGCTGCCAAAGGGTTTGAAAATCGCATTGAACATTCTGATCCGCTACTACAGCGAACGATATCTCATGTTTCTCCACTTGCTGGATAAATCGAAGATGTTGTAGTCGATGTGATGGAGGATTGACGAGGTAGATAAGGTACGTGGCGGTCGATTTGCCTCAAAGTATACGGTGGCTTTGAGTGGATTTTGAGACCACTGCGGTAATGAACTATAACTCGTTAGTGTTGTTGTTGTTGTTGTTGTTGTTGTTGTTGTTGTGTTGTGTTTGTTGTCACGTGTAAAGAGCATATGCTGACTTGATCGATGCCAGGATCCAGCGCCAGATTATCATCTACGACGGTAGTCTGGCCAAAGCATCAATATTGCGCTGTCAAGGTATCCGTCTGATAATCCATAGGGATCCATAACATCCTGGCTCGTCCCTTTGGATCTCCGTACCCGGGGTCACCATGCCCGACATCCCTCACCGGCTAAGATTTCAAATGTTCCATTGCGATCGGCAGCGCCTTTCTTTCCCCAGAGCTCAATCCGGGATTATGGCCACCTGGTTCCTCGCCATGGTCGATCCGAAAGCAAAACCCCAGATCAAATGATTGTTACTCTAAAACAGACGGTGCAAAGCCAGTATTTCAGGGTAACGATCTAGCGGGTAGAGTGTCGAGCTAGATACCAGTGTCAGGACGTCCTGGTTAAAGCAGCCATTGGGTGTCGGAGGCCGGGGGGGGGGGGGGGAAGGTTTGGGGGGCCTACTGCTCCGCACTTGGCGGACGTCTGACAACATGATTGGTATTCATGTCGAAGGTTTTTTGACGATGCTCAAAAGAATCCTCTGTCATGACCGAAGAAGCATTAATTGTCGGCAGGCAAGAAATCAAACCTGGGCTGTTGGTATCACCGAAGTAGCGGTGGCATAATCGGCAAAGCCGTTGCATGTTATCTCATTCCGTCAATGATTAACGGCCGCGCTTAAGACGAATTTTGACAAACCTCTTTGTTGGATTAAGAGAACATTTCAATCTGCGGGTTTGAGCGACCTAATTCGCTACTGCGACTGCTTATCACATTGGTGATATGACATACGTCAATAAATTGTGCCTCAAAAGTGAGCAGCTCTCACTCCCATTTAGAAGCACGGCTTTCGCCTTTACATCCGCTGGGAATTGGATAGGTACAGATTCGCTCCCGGGGTAGTAGTTAAGGGCAATGGGACCCTGTGCAGAGACTGCTATGCTTTGTGTAACGTTCGGGTCTAGTTAGACGCTCACAATTAGGTGCTGTTGTCATTGATACCGCTGTCGAGCAAGTAGCATAGATGCAGCGCAAAACAATAAAAAACCGATGTCGTGGGGTTGAGCAAGAGCAGAAGCGCTTGGCCTTGACGACCCCTCGACGAGAGAGTGACTGTCGACAATGTTCGCGTAATTCTACACCTAGCCAATTGGGGATTCATGTCTTGTTCCGTGTGACACATCGAACCTTCTCCGTGCCGTACCGTAGTCCGCCAGAGCTTCGATGTCCATATCCTATCTTCCCACTAGCCATCCCTGTTTCCTCGCTCATGCCCATGCGCTAACATGAGACAAGATCGATACGGATTAATGACAGCCGTAGCAGGTGCATGCACGCATACATCTCTTTTCTTGGCCCTGTCTCGCAACAACCTCCGTATCCATTTACCCCGCCGCCAACACCTCAAGCAATGCTGTCTCAATCATCGGCTCTTTCATCGCTTATGCAAGACGGCATAGTATGGACCCAGGGACGGCGGCGTTGGCAGCTTAGATGTAGAGAGACAGGTCTGAGGTAGGCAGGAAATGACTCGAGGGAGACGAAAGATGCCGGCGTGGGAAAGTGGGGAGGTAGAGGAGCGGACATCGAGGGTGAGGGTGAATGCAATGTAGACGGAAATGATGGCCCAGGTAGCCGTTGCTGATATAGTATTCGAGACGTCTCAGGAGGGTGGTGAACGGATGGAGTCTAGATGTTAGCCACGAATGGGCGAGTGAAGGCTACATAGGAGATGGTTCAGCAATGTATATCTTCATACTAGGTAAGAAGCATAAGGCCAGGAAAGAGATCCTCGCCAAGTATTTGATGAGGGTCTGTATGTACTCCAACGGCAGGGTGATGAGGTTCAGGTCTTCGGAATGTGACACTTACTGTTGTATCTGATAAGCTTAGAGATTTGAAGCTTAACATGTACGATGAGCCCGACCCTTCATCTTTCCTGCAATTGCAACGAGCTCTTCATCTTATATTCAAAGCCCCATCACGCATTGGTAGGAGTAGAATAGGTCTCTGCTATTGTTGCTGTTGCTGTGGGAACTTCAGTCCTAGCACCTTCTATTTTGGGCGCGCTTAGGGCGCCAAGCCGGAAACGCGCAAGGCCGATCTATCACTTTCTTACCTGACAATCTGGCCTTCAATACTCGTTCAAGACTTTTTCTGAACGTTGATTTGTTCGCTGGGAAGACTGGCTTACCCTTCTGACCTCGTGAAGTCATTCCCTGTCAAAATCATTTGCGATAATTAGCACCGGTGATGGAGAAAGCTCAGTGGAGTCCCATAAATAGTGAGCCTACGAGTGCTGGAACCAACCCCACTGCAAAGAGACCGCATCCGGGCCTCACACGTTTGCCCATCCAATTCTCAAATGGGGCGCCCATAAGAGCGAAGAAACAGTATACAGAGCCGCCGAAACATAACCTCGACAGGCCGCCAGTGGTGCACAGCCTGACACTGAGCGGGGATCTTCCTGCCCCAGAAGCGGAGTCACGGTCATCGAAGCAACGAGAAATTGGAACAGTAAGTTATTCAACCGTAAACGAGACCGGTCCATCGACTCCGTTTACGACCATCTCGCCTGATGAATCTACGCATGAACGGCGTGTCGAAGGCAAGAGGCACGACCTGGGGTCTAACGGTCGCAACACCACATCTATCGCAAACTCAAGGGCCGGTACCCAAACTCCGAGAGCAGTTCATCAAGCGGGAATGTCGACAGAGGCAAGACGCGCACAGTCACAAAAGCCTAATCCTGTGCCGGATGCAAGCAAGATTTATCAGGCTTTCAACATTGCGCCCCCGAACACCAATCTAATCACGAACGAGGAACAGTCTAATGCTACCACGGCGAGTGAATCCAGACAGGGCTCAATCAAGAGAACTTTTGGACCGAGAGATACACCAGCAAAGCTTACGAAAGGTTCTCCCAAAGAACGCTCGGTCGGACTGCACGAAAGTCACACCAAGCCAGTGCAAAATCAGGAGCCATCTGTGATTGACGAGCAGAGCTCGTCTTCTTCTGACGACGATGCAACACATCTGCCCACGAGTGCTGGACGCAAAGCAGAAGAGGCGGTTGACCAAGCAGAGAGTCCAGTCATGGATGACCCAGATCACGTCACGATGACGACCAGCTTACCAGATGATCATACTATCGAATGGCTAGCAGAAGCCAAAGATTTCTACCAAGGGACGCTACCGCCCTTTGTCACAAAGCAAAAACTTGGTGTTCGGAGAATGGTAGAACTACCGTTAATCGAAGGTCAACAGTACGCTGAAAAGGTCGAAGTGGTGTATCGGTTATGGGATGCTGCCCATACCTTCGCCAGTATTGACATAAATGGTGAAAGATTCATTGTCAAAGTTTTCAGAGGCGGTGCTACCCCCTATCGTCCCTGGATGGGCCCGCAAACAGGATTCTCCGAAACGCCGCTTGCGTTCTCCAAACAGGTCTCTCGGGGCCCGAAAAGCGTGACAGCTACCCCAGGGAAACGCCCCTCTCTTCCCAAAGGCTGGGCATTAGGAGGATGACGAGAGAGACGACGACTACAGCCCAGCTAGTCGCCGTAAATCTGGCCCAGTGTGGCGTCGCCGTCCCCATCGTCCTAACTTCGGGATAGACGACGATGACGAAGAACTCGACGAGGACCCTTACCAGATGGCAGAACAACTCCACTCGCAAAGGTCGTCGATCGAAGGAGACGATGCAGCGCCTGATCCGACTGGTCATAAGCCGCTGGACTCCAGCGTAGCCATTACACAGCCACCCAGCAAGCTCATCAACGCAGTCAAGAAAAGTCTTCGGCTACCGAAAGAGAAAGATGTCTTCCAGCGACCCAAACAGATAAAGCGCAGGAGCGTTGGTGGCCAAGGAGTGACTACGGAGTTGGAAGGGAGCAAGCGTGGGAAGCATAAGGCGGTTTTCTCCAGTGATAGCGAACGCTCTGTCCCCCATAAGCGAGCGAAGCCTACGAAGGCCATTTCCCAGCGCACTTTCTCCACTAATTCAGCCCATCTGAAAAATGTCCCTCAAGTCTCAGAACACGAGTCTCCTACTCTCGATGCGCACAAACTTTCGCCTTACAAACAAGCCCACACCACGCTACGTATCGCACTTGTTCCGTACCCACAACAATCTGCCATACACCGATTGCGTTCCTGCATGACCATAGATACTTTCTTCAGCTCTGTGATTGGGGTCTCTGGCTACAAAGGCGATAAAGATCGCATCTTTGGCATCACGGCCACCTTTGATTGCAAGTCTGACGACGATGCGGATAAGAGTATGGTGATCAGGGAAGAGTGGCAGGATAGCTTCGACGTGTTCCTCGAGACCGTTGACGGAGCGGAATCCTGGACGGAGGAGGGTGGGAAATGTGGCGTGGCTGTTAATCTGTTGTTAACCGAGGGGTGAACCAGCCCCGTCCTTCCTTTTGACTCAGCAATTGAAGGTGTGCATGACGAATGGGACTACCTTTCTGCGGGATGACGGCGTCTTCGACAACGAGACTTACTACCTTCAGAGGGCGCCCCTAGGAATTTATAACTGTTGGAGCAGATCAGACACGATTCAGACGACACAAAGTTGCAGGCCGGGGTTTTCTGTTCCAGCGATCGATTTCTGAAATCTCTGCACTCATTCATCCCACGACCGTCCATGTTAGAGCTATATATATCCCCTCTTTAAGCGTTTAGATAGATGGATGGATCAAAGATGTGCAGCTGCATGATATATCAGATAATACGATGAATGTTTCATTTCAAATACGCAAGAATAAACGATAAATGCACTTTTCTATCCCCTCATATGCAGCAGATAATTCCACTTACTGAGCCTCTACCGTTCCATTCTTCAATCCACTCTAGACACCTTGCGATTCCAGAAAATAAAAAGCACCGCAACACCATTGTACCAGCGCCATTAGGAATCGAACCTAATACGAACTAAATACCCCCAACAACAAGTCCCACCCGGCTCCGCTACTGATATTAAATCCCCTTACCACCTAACGCTTACTACTTAATATCATCTGATTTTACATCTCACCTCCGCTTATCACAAAATCAATATGGTGTAATCCATAAATCTGATGCGGTGTAAAGCCTACATTGATGATTCCATATGCGCGCAGAGCAGCCCTGATTGGAAAGCTAGCTTTCTTCCTGTCGACAAGTTTTGAAAAGTACTGCCAAGATCTGAATCGAGAAAGCCAGGTACCTATTCGGGAAGTAACTAAATTTCTTGGCTACGAACATCAAATTTTGTTAATAATCTCAACTTTATCTCCGTCTCTCCATTTCTTCTCCAAAAGAATTCTGTCTCTACAAATTATATCTCAGTTAACTCTTTTCGATTATGGTACCTCTTCTTCTGCTGCCATACGTACTGCGAATCGTCATCAAAAAAAGCGTCAACAATAGGAAAATGAGTATGCCCTCTCGCAATTACGCTTCCTAAAATCAGCTATAATTCCAGAGAAATTAATAAAATCCAGCCCTCTCGCAATTACGCTCTCAAAATCAGCTACAATTTTAGAGAAATCAATAAAATCCATAGTAACGTCGAGATCCTACACTCTATAACATAATAATACGCTGTTAACCTCAGCCTATAACACCTTATAGACCTTCTTAATATATATTCGAAGGCTTTAATAAATCATCTACTAGACTTCTCCTCGATTCTTCTTATCGATATAATAATCTTAAATTTCGCTATTAAGATCCTATATAACGTTTAACCTTTAACGTATAAGATTTATATCGAGATTACAGTCTTCCTACTTAGCAAGACTACGATACTTATTATTCGAAGAATTCTATTTGTATTCAATAAGTAGAGCGAGATAAAGAGCTTCGGGGTACGGTAGAACAGCTGGAAGATACTCGGATTCTCTATGAACATAACACTGTTCTGAAGCTATGTGACGATATTATCGATATCGTTACTACGAGTAAAGATGAGGACGACGAGGATAAGGACAACGAGGATGAGGACGACGAGGACGAGGACGACGACGACGAGGACGACGACGACGGGATACGTCACGAGTAGTTACTTGACGCTCTCGAGGACGTATACTCTTGGGTGCAGAGCGAGTCTCGCTTGGCCTTCTTAGAACGATTGGCATTTGATCGTAACACATATATCTACTCGGCAATATCTACTGTAATTCGTTACGGTGATTATGAGGCTGTAGAGAATCTCATATATTCTGAGATTAACCGACGATGTAATCTATTTCTTAGATATCGTTATGGGGAGGATCCGGAGAATCAATCAAATGCAGTACCGTAAACATGTTCAATTGTAGCGATGTTCTCAGTGTTCCCATAATGCTTGGCTAGCTTTTCACTACTGGGTAGCCCGCACCCCAGCACATATTAGGAATATCCGCCCACGTCTCTCCACCTTGTCAGCTGAGACAAACTCGACGATCATTCTCTTCGAGGATAACACTTTTGCGGAGCGATCTATTTGTATCGATGAGATCTTTGGGTTATCTGGCAAGAATGTTAGCTAAAGTAGGCTTTTTGGTTGTAGAAATCTTGGATCGATTTTCCGGTTTTTGGATGGGGGATATTCCTATCACTCACCCGCGTGGGCGGATGCCTTGTGGGTGGTGCCAAGCCTACCCCTGATGGCCCTATGGGTGGGCCAGAGGCATCTTAAGACATACCTTAGTAAAAAGCCGAGGTTTCAAAATGTAGTATGGATATAGTACTGCTTGAAAATACGTTACATTACGATGTTAATATGCTTATAGCTTAGAATATAAGCTTTATATAAAATAGTATTCGAATAAATTTTATTAAGATAATATAATATCATCTATAAATCTAAAAAATTAATTTCCGTACGATTTCCGTCGAGTTCGTACGATTAGCACGATTTAGTCTATTTAGTAGACTTTATCTATATTTAAATCCTTTTCGTTAATTCTATTAGTTTAGTAATTTTAAAAATTTTCAGTAACTTTAAAATTTTTATATAATATACTTTAATATACTCTAAATATTATTCTATATACATATAACATTAATATATATTATTATTAATATATCTATTATTATACGCTATATTAGAGTATTACTTACGCGATTAATTTTATTAAATTATCTAATTCTATAGTCAAATTTAAGTTAACGTTAATACTCGTTATTATAGAATCTTATTATCGTAACGTCGATTATTAGAACTTTTCTTTTTTTATATATATTACTACTAAACTAATAGAACTAATAAAAAAGATTAAGATAATTACTAAATCGACGAAATTTAGATAGATTCTAATTAGATTTATTACGAGCGTATTCTTAATATATTTCTTAGCCCTATAGCTAGCGGGCCTTAACGGAGATATCCTCTACTATATTATATCTTCTTTTTATCTATATAGTTCGATATCTTAGTTATCTTATTTAATATATCTATATTAATATTATATTTATATTAATTCTAATATTATAATTAAGATTAATCTATTTATTTCATTTATATTAATAGATAAATTTAAAGAAACGCGCTAATAGAGGTTTTAGTAAGAAATTAAATTAAGCTATTATATCTCTAGATAAGCTTATTAAATAGATAAATTGATTTTAAAGAGTTTAAAAGAAATAGCGAAACGATCTTAATAAATAGTAATTAAGGAATAAAGAAGGTATTAGATTATTTATACGGCTAGCGAATCGAAAGAAATAGCTAATATTATCTTATATTTTTATATTTAAAATATATATTAGTAGTATTACTTACAACTTTATATATTATAATATCTAAGATTTTAATAAGATCTTAATTAGATAAGAAATAGTCGAGTTATAGTTAATTAAAGATATTATTTTTTAAAACTTTTTTATATATAACTTCTCTATAAGATAAGAAACTCTCTAAGCGAAGTAAGTATATTCGAAAGGCTACTATTTAAAGTATTTATAGTCTTCTTAACGTCTTAAATAATTAAGAAATAAATATATTAAACTCTCGCAAAGAAATAATCTTATCTTAAGCTTTATAATGAAATTTTTTATTCTTAATATCGAATAATTTTAATACGCCTTAGAGAGGCTTTATTATTTTCTAATATATCTAATATTCTCAATATCTATTCTTTCGAAGTATTTAAACTCCTCTCCACTTTATTTTAAATCTTTCTTTCTTCTTTTTTATAACGAAGTCTAATATCGAAAAAATAAATTAAATTAAGACTCTATTAAAGTAAATTAAGTTTTAACGAATATTAATTCTATTAGATAATGCTCTTAATAAGATAGATTTAATAAATATATCTTAAAATATCGCTAATAGTCTATAACTATAATATTAGATTAAGTATTAATCTAATAAATTTATAACTATATTAAATAAAATTCGTTAAAAGCGAGATAATTTCTAAGAGGTTATTATTCGATATTATATCGTCGTAATAGAAAAGAATCTAGTTATAAATAATTTATACTAAATCTATAGAATAATCGAGAAGATAAATTAACTAGCTCGAGACTTTTAGAAGAATATAACTTCTCTATAGCGGAAAGTTAATAGTCTTAAAATATAGTTAATAAAAGATTTATAATTATTATCGATTGAGGAGAAACGTATATCTAGATATTTAAAAGAGAAATTAATTAAGATTTTAGACTTATCTCTATTTATCGACGATAGCGACTTTATCTAGAACGACTAGTTCTTTAAAATAGAATAGAAATTTAAGATTAATAGCGATTATTATCTTATTAAGAACTTTAAGATAATCTATATAGTCTTATAACTCGGCGATAAGACTATATAATATACGATATATAGAAAACTTCGAAACTTTATTAATCTATATTAATCTTTTATTAAAATTATAAACGAGTTAGTTAATATTTATAAGAACTTAGATCGACGTAGTAATATATTATATAATATATATACTCTATAATAAGAAATCTAACCCTTTATTAATTTCTATTTAGACTTTATTTAATTAGATATTATTCTTAATTATAACGAAATTCTTATATTAGAGAACTATCTTTTTAAGAAATTAAGAAAGAAATTAAAGGAGATATAATAGGTTATAGAAGGTTTTACTATTTTAAAGACTATAAAAGAATATTTTCGAAAGCTAAATAACTTATAACGTGCTAATTATAAGAATTTTAAGTTTATAAAGATTATTATTAAGTTAATTATAATATAGATATTAATAATAATATCCGCGATTAATATATATCTTATATTTATTATCGAGTTCAATTTAAGTATAATTACTACGCCTTTAAATATTATAACTAATTTAAAACTAAGAGAATTAATATACTATAACTACGATAAGAAAGATTACTATTAAAAGAACTATATAATATCTATCTAAATTAAGACTAATAAAAAGGCCTTTAAGAAAGTATAACTCTACGCGTTGGAAATAGATAAAGAATTCGAAATTAATAACGTCGACACTACGGATAACAACGATTATTCTTCGAATTTAAAAAATAAATAGCCTCTTTTAAAGTTATAATAAGAGATACTTATAAAGTATATCTAATAGATATCTCTAATAACGCCCTAGTACGTCGTCCTTTTCGTATATAAGTTACGCTTTCTTTATAAGAAAGAACTTATTTACTTAAGAACTTTCTTATAGATAATAAATATATCGAGACTTATATAGTTATAAACGAGTTCTTAATCTCAGCGATATATAAAGTCTTATATCTAGAATTACTCCCACTATTACGATCTAAATTACTAAGAGATTATAACGATTAGATCGTAAAACGATTAATTATATACTACTTACTCTTAACGATAATAGTAGAAAATTATTAAGAAGAAATATATCTAATATTAATTATATTATTAAAATATAATATAATAATCGAGAAATCTTAAATGAATAAATACGGGGTAGTTCTTAATATATTACGAGATAAGATACTCTTTCTACTCGATCGATATAATTATAATAGTAATTAGATATTAATAATAAATGAACTCCTCTTTCTATTAACTTCGGAGCTTCGACTACTTATATTATCTATTCTCTTATCTATTATACTAAAACGATAAAGCTCTCTCTTATCTACTTACGATAATAAGACTAATTTAAATATCTCTATATTAAATAAGAATAAGAATAATAAGAAGTCTAAGTTTATTAATATCGCTGAGATTAATATAGTGGTCTACTATTAGCTAGCCCGTAAAAAAGATAATAAGTTATTTATATTAATAGTGAATGAGATCTATAATAACTCGTCAATATTATATATACCTCTTATTATCTAAATACCTCGCGGTTTTCGCATATCGATTAATAAATCTTATCTTTATAACTTAGAAAAGAAATATAAAAGGTATTGCGATTTTAATTATCTTATTTAAATTAATAGTATCGACGAGATTAGTTCTAAGAAGGTGAAATATAAGCTATTTACGAAGTATTATAATTATCTCGATATTTTTAATAGAACTAAGACGAATATACTTTTCTTATATCGTTCTTATAATTATAAGTTAAAATTTAACGATAGCTTCGATAAAACGAAACTTTCGAAAAATAGAATCTATTTAATATTAGAATATAAATTGAAATAGATAAAGAAGTATTTAAATAAATATTTAAAGAAGGGATTTATAATACTAAGCTATACACTATTCACCTTATTTATTTTATTCGCGAAAAAGCCGAATAAAGAGTTACGTTTTTATATGAATTATCGAAAGTTAAATATTATTACTAAAAGAAATCGATACTTAATTTCATTAATAGATAAGATTTTAATAAGGATCTAGGGATATAAATATCTTACTCGATTAAATATTATAGCCGCGTTTAATAAACTACGTATATACCCCGATAGCGAGAATTTTACTACTTTTATTACCTCTCTAGAAGTATATAAGTATTAGATTCTCCCCTTCGATCTAATCAACGACCTAGTTATATATTAATAGTATATGAATAATATTCTATTTAAATATTTAAACGATTTCTACTAGATCTATTTCGATAATATATTTATCTATAGTAAGATAAAAAAGAAATACATCTAATACGT